CGATTTATGTACGTTTCTCGCTGTGCGATAAAACTCGTAATTGAGTTTGAAAATACACATTGCGGAGCACAATTTTCTATTAACCGTATAATATTATATCGTGTGTCTGTCGCGCGAATGCATGGGCGACTTCCCTACGACAGGACGACTTCATTTCGATATATCCTCTCGGCATCAATTAGAAACTTCTCTTCGATTTCTCATAGTCAGTACCGCTGCCCACACAACACGCACACACACACGCATATACACGCGTATCGGAGCAACTGCAGCCCCGAGAGGATTATCGAAGAGAAATAAATAGGATCCTGCTACTACGCGCACGGTTATCCTTCGTCTTCGTCATCGTCGTCGTGGTCGTCGTCGCGCACGTGAGAACGACCCGGGTGAAAACAGGACGGATCAGCAGCTATTAAACAGAGATAGAGTGAAAGAGGGACTTGGAAACGGGAACGGAGACGAGCGAGGAACGCGGGAGTCAAGGAACTAGAAATGAATTCCATTTGCACGGCCGAGAAGGGAGGACCCGTGAAGCGGAATAGAGCGGAATGAGAGAGGAGGACAGAGCAAAAAGGGCTGAAACACGGGAGGGTTTTACCTCGCCTCGTGGAAAGCAAAGAGAAGAGGGTGAGGGAGAAGTTCGCGAGAAAGGGGATAATGCGAATGATAAAAAGCACTCGGAGAGAAAATTATAAGTTATACGCGCTTTTATGTGCGTCGTAAATTTACTCGCATTGTTTCGAATTGAATGAGAAAGGGAATTTCGCGAATGTAAGCGAATTACAGAATAACATCTCGACTTGTTTTCGCGTTGTCATTACCTAAGAATCGCGTTGCGAAGCGTCGTGCAAGAATGCGAAGAAGAGGTTGCATCTGGTCGCGGCAATACGCATGCCGCGTAAACAGGATATGCTGATCAGTAACCATTGATCGCTACCTACGCCATCCGAGACTACTTATCGATGCAGAAGGAAGGAGAAGCTCGCAATAATGTTTACTCATATAGCGCTCAAGCACGCGCGAATACGAAAAGTCTTCATATTTTTCTCCTACATTTTTTTACGATAACATCTGAATAATCTTGAATTTTTGTTTCTTAACGCGGAATTTGTTTCGTTGCGAATTTTTACAATTTAATTCGCGACTCGTTGGAAGAGATTTCTCGTAGAAATCGGACGGAACGTCTCCTCGGACCGTGCCATTCGTGCCGAGAACACATAAGGGCGAGAATCAGTAATGAGTACGTTACGGGTTTCTTCCCTGCCTCGGCTTCGCCGGCAAAAACTCGCTCTCGATTCGATTCACGGTGCCGGAGGACGAAGGATACACGAGCGCAGGTGGGAGGTGGAGAGAGAGAGAGAGAGAGGGTCCACGGCGCTGGACCGGCGATCTCCGCGAATTAATCAAATACGCGAGCGATTTGTCTTCGTTACACCCACGTGGGCACCCCGGAGGGACGCGTGTGTAACCGGGGTGACGAAGCCTTCGCGAATCGGCCCCGGCGGGAGAAAAACGTGATCGTGCTACACATGCACCTTGCGCGACACGATTATTCTAAAAATAAAAATAACGCTTTTATGCGATAAAAATGCCGCTGCGATGCTCCGCAAGATTTTATGCAGTTTCGAATTGCAGAAAAAAACTTAGTTTTTTAAAATTAATTATATACATATTGCTACAGAGAGAATTTACTCTGAAAATCGAAGGATTTCTCTGATTAATATTTGCGACAATAAAAATATTAATATCTACCACAATATGATATAAAACATGTTCGATTAATTTTATTATGTACATATTAATATTTTTGTCTCAAGATTACCATGATTTTCAGGATAAATTGTAACAATAAGAGAAAATTCTGTCCGTATACAAAAATGTATCCAAGAAAACAAATTCACTTAATATTATTAAAATCAGATATATAAAATGCGTATAAATATTTCAATACACACATTATATTTTGAAAGTTTTTCCATAACTTACAAATATTGTTTCTTTTAATTTTTCCATAGAGGGAAAAAATTGAAATTACGATGTGCGATATTCTCACGAAGAACGGACGATTTAATGCGCGCTTTATAATTTTATTATCCTTCAAGATTTATTACCAAATGCGTTGCCTCGCGTATCTTAATGGCCAACTTTCTCGCCACGGCGGCTTACGGACGAAGGGACACAGATTTGTCCGGCGTGTCACATACCCTTCCGAAGTCGCGCGTCGAAATCCTTTTGCACGGGCTCAAGATACTCGAGCGGTATCTCGGCGTATCGGGATGCGGAGTAAATCGTAATTATATACGGGGAGTAGTATACAGGATCGGCGGACCCACCTCTCGCGGCGAGAGTCCGTGGAAAAAGATCACGCGGACGTTTAATAACACGGGTACCGAATGCTGATGGGTAGAGGTATCGCCGGGGATATAAAACGTGTACATCTTCCAGACCAGTCTCGCATCGGTACCAACGCGTATACACGCGTAATTACACGCGCGCCTCGCGTATACGTTCACGCGAGCGCAGTGTGAGTTTTATCCTTCACATATGTACACATTTTACATACGAGTTGAGATCCGTGTGTGTGTGTAAATCTCGGGATACATATATACACGCTTATTCCTGCAGCGCGCACCCATGTATACTTTTACGCACAGGGTGTCTGACCGGGAACAACCTTTCAAATGCCAAAAAACAAACCGAGGATGATGAGGATTGTATCAATGTCTCGACATGTGCTAAGTGCTGGAGTTATTTGGCATTGAGCATTGAAGGATTTTGTTTTAATTCTCTATCGAAATGAGAGATGTGCGCCAAAATATGCGCACCATTAACCAAAGCATTCACGGTGTATATATGCGTGTATGCGTACGAATGCATCTTCTACACTGTCGCGCGAATCGATGCGAAAGGTGAAACGGAGGATAGGACGGGGACGAGTTGAATCGAGTATAAATAGCGGTCCATAAATTATGCCATCCACGTACGCGACCGAGTACCATCTTTAAGGCACTGATCGAAGGCACGGGTCGATGTCATCCGATGTCACCGACAACAACATAGAAGACATAGGCGTCGACGACAACGTAGATGTCGCGGAATATATGGCGAAAATGGAAATACCCGCGGCTAAATGTCGAGACGACGATGTTTCTCTTCTACCCGCTTTTTCCGGTCGTATGCAACGGGAAAAGAAAAAACTTGATCGGGATCACGTCGTGGTAGATCTCCGGGATTTGTCGAAACACATCTAGGAAGCGTATATCTCGAATGAGTAATTGTAATCTCGTTTTACAATTAGTCCACACCGCGTGCAATTGATCGACCCATCTATCGATCGATCGATCCGGGCAATTATTGGTACGCGTGCTTTATCTGCGCGATTGTCTGTAATTGGATGTAGGGACTGTGTTTATCGTAACGAACCGTCGTGGTTGAGTATTTCCGACATCCTTAATAAAAACGGTTAATTGCTGATTGAGAGAAGTAAACTAAGGGACATTTTTTTCATCAATTTCATTAAGATCCTTCTTTTCTACATCGAAATGAAAGACCGCGCGTGTACTAACGATCCGCCTTTAACTCAATACTGACAAACTAATGATTTAGAGCCCCTGCCTGTAATAAGCCGTCCAATTATACATCATCATCTATCAAACGGCAAATCGGGGACACGTCGGGTCGAGTCGGCGCGATGCGTTAGATCCAAAGAGAGATTCCGACGTATAACGTAAGCCGCAACGGAGCGATAATTCCAATTCAGTTTCCCGCAACGTAGGCTCCTTACGGTTCTTGGCGTAAAGAGACGTGGGCGGCACTCGTTATGCAACATGCATGTAAACGGGCCGGCGAGCTCGAATCGTTCATCACGGAATTGCATCTGCCACCGGCCAATTTGGCTATTAATTGATTCCAAGGCAACGGCACCGGGCGGTCCTGGACCGACTCGTGCGAGGAGGTCGAGCGAGGTCAATGTCGTGGAATCGATAAATCGCTATCATTCATTCGTCGATTACACGTGCCCCGTTCGTTTGCTATTCGGCAAACGAAACTCGTATCATCGGACGGACACAGTTGCACTTGACGTTTATGTGTGTGTACGTGTGTGACCGTACTCGCCAAAGATCTTGCTGTAAGATCATGCCGCCGATCAGACACGATCCTTCGAGCCGAGCAACGGTCTCCGATCGTAACCGTGACGAATGAGATCTCAGCAATGCGCGACAGCTCTCGCTTGAAGAGATCTGCTTAGCAGCGAACCTCAGCTAGCCTCCTTTTACGGTGGACCCGGTGCCGCCGGAGTTTTAATGGCGAAGAGAATAAATTCGTTCACCGGCGAAGTTGACCAGGGAAACGTGTAGCGAAGATGTCCCGTAACTTTGCCTCTAATTTGGCGAGTTGAAATAGCACGAAGCAACTGACTGTTGTATTGTTGACAAGATCTTATTTGCGTTCTTCTACGCGATATCTTGTTTGTTGAAATTTTTTTTCAGTCACCCTGAAATATTTTTACAGCCTATTGTTTCGTAACTTGTTATGGTTGTCGAATACAGTTGTTGATATCGTAAAGCAAATTGATTCGACATCTTTAAACAAGATCGACAGATTAGAGAGAAACTTCAATTAATTGATCTTTCGATTCAACTACGTAAATGACATAAATATCGCGATTTAATAGCAACTTGTGTCAATCAATCCGGCGCGAACATGTTCAGCGAATCCGGATTTACATTACAAAAACTAAGTTGCGATAATGCAAATGTTCATGCAAATGCAACCGGAGGCCAAACTACTTTTTGATACTTCGCGTCATAATTTATCTAGATTATTCTGATACAACTTTTAATTAACCCTCATTGAAGTGCGAGAAGTACGACGAGACTTATTATGAATAAATTAACGTAAAATGTGTTTCTCTTCTTTCGTTTGAAGCAATTTTACTTATATCTGATGCACGTGTATATCTATATACATTATTTAAATTATGTATTCTGCATTTCCAGGCGAACGACCAAGCAGGTTTTATCTGGTAAGAGAGGAAGCTGATCTCTCGTTGGATCCCAACACGGGGATGCTGAGGATTCGACAGCCGCTCGATCGAGAATCACGTGACAAATATGTTCTCAGCGTCGAAGCACGTAATGGCGGCTCCGTTGGATATTGCCAGGTAAATTGCGCATCCTCCAGATAATCATCGTTTCGGTATTAACTCGCCATAATCATAGCCGTTTATCCGTTTTCTCAATATTTATCCTGAATGTGCATGTAATAATGCCGAGCGCGCGAAAAGTTTGCTATGCGCGATTTTTGCGAATCTCTATACAATATTATTATATTTAATATTCGGCGCAACATGTATTTGTTAGCATCGCACTTGAAAACTATGATTAATTCATCATTATATTGTCGAGGCATGAAGAAGCTTTTCACTTACCTAGAAAAAGTTTGTTGCCTCTTCAATCGTGCTCATTTACACAACATTCATCTGTTTATTTACAGATGGAGTTGGTCGTGGAGGACGTAAACGACAATACGCCGTCCTTCCGCACGACTAGCGTTCGCATCTCGGTACCGGAATCTCATCCTCTTCACGTACCCCTGTACGTGGCGCATGCTACCGATCCGGACACCACGCCATCGTTGCTGATACGCTACGTTCTCGGTCAAAACAGCAACGACCTCTTCGAGATAAACGCGCGCACCGGCGAACTCTATTTGGTGAGACGATTGGATTACGAGACTCAGCAGAGGCACGGTCTTCTGATAAGGGCCCTGGACGGCGCTGGGCTCTCGGCTAACCTTAGCCTGAGCGTCGAGGTGCAGGACGTGAATGACAACCCCCCAGTGTTCGAGAGGAACGAGTATCACGTGGATGTTCCCGAAGGCGCCAGGCTCGATTCTCAGGTGAGAAAAATCTTCATTACACGCCCGTCACGCAAGCATTTGTTTGTCGAGAGGATGCGGTAGGGTTCTTCGAAAAAGGAAACGGATATAGGAGAGACAGAGAGATTTATAAAATGTTGTACACGCGTTCGTACGCGCATGTATGTTAGAGAGAGAGTAGAGGAAGAAGGAACTTTGCATCTCGAACGGGAGAGATGGTAAAAGTTAACAACCTCTCTTCGGTCTTTCTTTCGTTCTTCATCGGCATCTCTTCGCGCCAGAGTTCCCTTTTTTCCCTTGTAGAGACTTCGACTTCTTTTTGCTCTCGCGCGTTTTTGTATCTTGTCTCGACGATGCGTAATTTTATCCGGGACAACCAGGAAGAACGCGCTCGTGAACCTTGCTCCTTTTCGTATCGCGAGACATACGCCGTTCTGCAGCTACCAGTCGTTACTTCCCTTCCGGATAATTTTTCGCGAAAGAGAAAAGCATCGGGAGAAGGAAGAAGAAGAAGAAGAAGAAGAAGACGTTGACTTGCGAAGTTCACCTTGTAAGCAAAGGGAGAATTAACCTCTCGCGCCGACTAGAAGGGATTTAACTGAACGTTACATCGCGCCGCGCAGAGATTAGCCAATGTTACTCCGCAAAGTTATTTGACGGATCAGTTCGGGCTGATAGATGGATAGGGAAGAATGTCTGATAATCTGATATCCAAATGCGTGTATGTTGTCGGTCGAAACCCATTGCAAAGCAGCCGCGAGTACTGCGAGTGTCTGGAATTGATAGGTAACAGTTGATAGATCTTCGTAGAAACACGCTACACGATCCGTCATTTCACGAGCAAGTTTCAACGATTACCTGAACACGAAATAAGACATTTATCGCGTAATATCGAAATTATGCATTTTACAAACGCGAATTGATCCTTAAAAATAGTCATAAATAGTCAAAAATAGTCATAATTTAAAAAATAAAGTAATACGTATATCGATTAATTATGCGACAAAAAATCAAAGAAGAGACTTTACAAATGGGAATAGTGAACGACTGAGAGTCATTAGCTGCTTGAATTTCGCGAGAACAAGGTCATCATTGTTGCGCGATTAATAGGTCCGTAGCCACGAGCGGACGTAATCCCGAATACGAGATATTGATGACAAATGGTGGTGAGATTCTCGCCGCGAGATATACTCGTTAAATAACGTCACATTTTTAATACAACATATATGAGATAGAGCGAAAGACGTCGTTGCAATTGCGTCCATTTTCTTTTTTTCCTTTTCCTTCTTTTCTCATAGCTACTCGATCTTTCGTTTCATCTTTCTTCTGATATACATGTATATATCGGTGATATCTATCGATGGAACAGATCTGTGAGCTGTCGGTGGTATTCGAATATCTTAGTCGCTAGTGTGCATTAGAGGGAAGAAGATGAAGAAATGGAGGGAAAGAATGTGAAGAGAAAAATGGCTAGAGCAAGAAAGTAAGCTGCAGTAAGCGTAACCTTTCACCCATCGTAAACTAATAACATACAGTTAGACACATTAGTGCCTGCTCTCGCATCAAGTTCTTTATTTAATGGTAACACATATTCTTCCCTCTGGTTCACCTCGTCTGTAAAGACAACTCGGTCGCGGCGTCTCTCTTTTCTCCTCCTTTACTCTCTCCTCCTCTTTCCTTTTGCCTTCTACCATCATCCATCATCCGTGAGCCGCGGGTTCATACGCGGAACACGACCTTATACACTCCCGATCCTACGCTCTTTTTTTTTCTTTTTCTCTTTTATTCTTTTTCTCGTTCTTCGACCTTCACTATCTTCCCGCGCTGGGAAACATCGGCTGGCTCGAACGTGTTTAGGGTACGCGGTCCTTGGGTGCGTTTAATTAATACGAAACGACCGGATCGACTGGTCTTGTCTCGACGTCGCCTCTCACCCCGTCTTTTTTTCTCCACTCGTACTCCTTTCCTCTCTTGCAAGAATGCGAAAAATATTGAATCACGCGATTGCTCTTGTTTCGATTTTCATCATGGTTCTGTTCGTCTGATCGGCGTTCTGAGACATTTAATTAGATTTTATATTCTCTCTTTGTGCAATTATATAATTTATTTATTATGTAATTGCAAAATTGTTGCATTAATTAAACGTCATTAATATAAACTAATCAAATTTTTCATCGTTTGCAGATTCTTCAGGTAACCGCGGTAGATCTGGATACGGGAAACAATGCTAGACTGAGCTATCGTCTCCATGGTTCCACCGCCTTTCGCATCAGCTCCACCACCGGCTGGATCTACTTGGCGCAGAATTTGGACCGTGAAACTGTCGATCGGCACGCCTTGACAGTTCTTGCGATCGATAACGGGTCTCCCGCAGCGACCGCGAGTACCTCTGTGCTGGTGACAGTTTTGGATGACAACGACAACGATCCGCGCTTCGAGAGGGATTTTTACAGATTTGAGCTGCTCGAGAATCTTCCTTCGGGTACTGTGGTTGGCTCTGTGAGCGCTATTGATCCCGATCTCAGCAAGAACTCTCGCCTCAGATACGCAGTGGTTCAAGTTAACAGCAGCTTCACCGTGGATCCTGACACAGGTATAAAAAAATTTTTCTCAATTTTATTCATATTTTTCATTCTTCTTCCGTTTGCACGCCGTCAACCGCCAAGAAGGATATATATATAAGTTCTCGTCGAAACGACGAGTTTGAGTGTTTGCGAAAGCCGGCCCGGAGCCTGGCTTCGAGAGCCGAGCAGAGATGCCCACGCAGCTTGAAAACGTGGAGAAAAATATTGGCGAATCCATTTCCGAACTTGGGTTCGTCGAGGTTCGACCGCGGCAAAGCGGGTCGAGTTGCTTGCGAAGGTGTATTCAATTCGTCGAGATTTTGTCGAACAAACTCGGCGAGGAGCGCGTTATTCTTTACTCCGGTTTTTTTCGGGTTGAGTTCACACCGGGACTACTCGACGACCGAGAATGAATAGGAAATATAAGGAGAAACTTCCTGATTCCGTACTCTTCTCTCGGGACTACGGTGACAATCGATTCGCGGCGATTAACATTTTGGTCGCAAGTTTGAGATTTTTTTTTCTGTCGCGATGCCTCGCTTTGCGGTGTTCCGCCATACTATGTTACACGTGCAGCCGCAGGAATGCCACGGAACGGAAGCAATCTTGGCGCGATTCGTCGTGGTCGCGTCGATAATTCCGCTCTCGTCGAAATCTTATCGAACTCGATCTTCCTCGCGCGTCATTTCTCCGACTTATATCTCACCCTTCTTCGTCGGATGAACGCCATCACGAACGTAATTGTACGCCGTGTCTACCGCAGAATCTTTTATTTCTCAACCAGATATTCTATCTCGTATATCAGTCTAACGCTTAGCCGATCCGTTGTGCTCTCTTTTCCGTCCTCGCTTCGCGCCAACTTCTATCTCGTGCGTCCTCGCTCGCAGCCACAGTTCACTTCCTGTTTCAGACAGGTTTCTTAGCCTGTTAAATAAAAATTGAACACGCCTTCGCTAGCTTCTTATTAAATCTCCGCGTGTCTGAATCGTCGGTATGATATTCCCTCTCTCTCTCTTTAACTTGTCCCTTCGAGTTTCTTCCAGCGCGATATGACGGAGAAACGCTATCGAGTCAACGAGAGATAGATTTAGGCGCGAGAAGGAAACGTTACAAGTGTGAGAAAAGGAGAGACTATTAATTTTCTAAATAGACCCTAGCCGTCAGCGCGTGTAATTTACGCGTTGCTATTGCGTCAACCGAGCGACCCTTTTAGGTTGCCATTGTTAAACGATTTCGTAATCGATGAAAAGATTCCTCGGACAAACATCCATCTAAATATTATTTCGAAATTCTTTGAAAACATTTATTATCTCATTAAAGCCATGTTGAACATAAATATTAGTTGTCGCATTTTACAGATTTGCTTGCTTATTTTTCGAGTTCAAATATTACTTAATGATTTGCTAAATTACTGGCTGGAATAACAAGAATCACACGATCGTTGTCTTCGGGATCTCTCCGTATAGCTCATTTTAGATCGCGGCAGTGTGCGTACGCGTCGTGGGTATTAAAATATAATCCGGTAAGAGTGGCGCTTTTGCTTAGTCGGCGTGTAACGAATCATCAGGAACGGGGCCCGAGGCTCGTCACACGCCGCGTAACGCACATGTATGCAGGGTGCCTCGCAATGTGCGGGGTTTGATTGGCATGCGACACGGGAGTATTTGTGTACACGCTTGGTCCGGGCCTTCTCCTCTTCTCCTTCACCTCTCTTTCTTTCCTCCCTTCGTTTCGTGTCCGCCGGGCTGCCTGTTTGCAGAGGTGGGACTTCTTGAGTCATCCCCGACCGAGCGCGGATCGAGAGGCAGCGCAGGCAGAAAAAAGGACGAGGGATAACGACGAAGGTGGGGGCGATCGCGCTGCCGGAAGTATCAGCTGTCTTGTCGTACGAATACTTCTATATTAATCCCCCCCCCCGTTGCACACACGGTGCGTGTGCATATTGTCCGGTCAGCAGACCAGCGGCGGAGTGAGTTGAAATTTCGCTCGGCCATTGTCCTTCGATCGCGGGCTCTCTAACCCGCGATCTCCCATTGAGAAAACCCTCGAGCGATGCCTCCTCGAGTTCTTTCCGCGTAGGTCGCCGCCGTAATGTCCGCTTAATGGCGCCCTTTTCTCCATTCATCCAATTAAGGGGGCCCCGCGTGTTGGCTCACAATGTCGGGAGATCGAACCCGTCGTGATTTATGGAACGGCACGTCCTTGATGAGACGCGATGAAAAGTATGGGGAATATCGCCGATTGTCAGCTCGATTCGACCAGTTCCTAATATGTACCGGGTGTGATTGCGGTCGCTAAACGTCCGTGTCTTGCCTCGACAAAAGACATGATACATTTGACGATGTATTCGTCGAGCCGGATGTCAAAGTCGCATTCCCGCCACTTTCGTCTCTCTTCGTGCGTGGAATCTTCATCTCTTTCCTCTCTCGTACATTTCAATTCGTCTCGATATGCACGCGCGATACGTCTGATTATTGCGACCTCAGGAATTTCCGACGTGTACCAGCTGATCGATGTTCGCCTATCTGCATCGTGCGGCTTCGTCCACTGGAACATGATGAACATATTCTTTATTTTAGGGATGCGATAACGCTGCTTTCCGAATGTTTATTTGGTCGTGCGTTAATTTTGCAATTTACAAAAATATCTACTCGATAATTTCTCGTATCGTTTTATAGCGCATCCGACATTATACCTCGCCCGTGATAAATGCCGATTACGATCAATTTATATTATAATTGAGTACAGGTGTAAAAAAGGCGATCGGATATCTTGAATTATTTAGCGATATATTTTCCAGGAGTAAACATGTTTAATGGGATTTCCCACAGCTTTTTCCTATGCGTCGATAATTTGATACGCAGTTTTGCATCGACGATCAAATTAAAGATAAGGTTGCTACTCGCTTAGTTTGCAGCTCGCGTGCGTCGGGTTGCCGAGCAAGTTTCCTCCAGGCTTATCCTCGCCTGGAGATTTTTCTATCGGGTCGGTACTTCTTCTATACGTCGAATTGTTTGAGAAACCGAGCGCGGACGAGACGTTATGTCGTCCGTCACACAACACGGAGCTCTTCCGTCTAAGCTGGTACATCCGATCGCGACGATGGATTCCCAAATATTGGAAGAGGCACGCGAAGACAAAAAAAAGTCCTCCGCTCTTCTTACGAGCATGACGGCGAGGTCGGTCGCGCGATCCCACGAGAAACTAACACGAGAAACGCATTAGCACGCGTCCTACGATATACTTCTTATTGTTCCGCGATGGTATCCTCCTGGTCGGCGCGTTTGCATGTCCCCCGTCGATCGTTTGTCTTGTCGACGACGAAGGAGCACGACGTCGCCGAGGCCACGTCGGGGACGGTCGTGACTAGATACGTCGAGAATTCGTGGAGGCACGCGAGATTCCACGTCGTTTCTCACAGATCCGTCGTACGAATTATTATCCCGATCCTTTTCCCAGATTCTGGAATAATTCTGGCGGCCGACCGCTCGCTCGCTTAATTATCCATTAATGCGCCGACCGGTGCCGAGGTAAGGAGGAAAACGGGTATTCTGGCTCCACCTTTTCCCTCTTTCACCCCGCCGTGTGCTTTCGCTCCTCTTCATCTTCTTATTTGCCGTTCTCTTCTCTTGTGACCGTGACTGCTCCCCGCGATACGTAATTACGGCCGAGCTCGTTACACGCGCGACTACGTACGTCCCTGGTACGATTATTACATGCGAGAAGGGAGAGAGAGAGAAAGAGAGAGAGAAAGAACGGAGACGAAAAACGAAACTCCTGGCGCGACCGAGGAATACGAGCGACCGTGCACGGGCGGTTCTTACCAGCGACGATTATCCAATTAACCGTTCTCGACGAGGGAAATTGATAAGGTCGGTCTAGCCGATCGCGATCCACGAGGGGAACGTCGGCCGATCGTATTGAATTTTATGCGAACGGATACGCGAACGTGCTCTCTTCCGTTCGCTATGCGATTTCCATCGCGAAATAGGTCTTGCAGCCAGCGCGTAGGATCCATCAGGATTCCTCGGGATCTTTAAATATCGTCTAAGATCCAGGCACAGACTAGTACGATGATATTTTTATCGCGCGGTCAGAAATATTCCATCATGTTCGTCCACGAAATGCAACCCATATAGGGTTGCCAGTCATTATAACGAAGCCAACTCTTAGTCGACGCAATCAAGTGTTGACCAAGGTTCTGTTACCAGTTCTGGAGCAGCATTGGTAAATAGTAGACTGTCTGTCTGTATAGAATATCTATACATATACAGTAAAGGTCTGACGTAAATTGCTAGCAGTCGGCTAAAATATTCTGTCAATTAGTACTGATCCAGCACTGGTCTTACAAACAGCTTAATATTGATTATCAGAATTGCGCAATATTGGTAACGCTAAATAAAAATAATAAAAATAAATTATTTCTCTTTCCTCTCCAGGCGTGATCACCACGCGGGAGCCTCTCGATCGAGAAGTGAAAGATGTTCATGAGCTGGTCCTGGAGGCGCGGGATCAAGGAACACCGTCCAGGGCCGCCAGGGTACCTTTGAAGGTCAAGATTTTAGACGTTAATGACAACTCGCCTGAAATTGTCGATCCTCAGGGGGACGTCGTTAGCGTCAGGGAGGAGCAACCACCGGGAACGGAAGTCGCCCGAGTGCGAGCCCTGGACATGGATCTCGGTGAGAACGCTTCGGTGACCTACAGTATCTTGAAAGGTAAGGAATATTACTGTTAATGTTGCTTTAATTTATTTCGGATATATGTATGTGTGCATCTTTTGATACGACACGGAGAGAAAGATAGAGCGCGATCCCATCTCGATTACTTATTAATTGCCGTGCGTGACTAATCGGTTATGCTGCTCGCCTAATTGAGGGACCTGCGCTTTTGCCTTCCTACGAATATATATGTGATTATCTCGGTAAGAAAATATATAAATTATAATTATAGTAGTTGTGTGTACGCACGGCCAATAATTGCGCTGCTTCGTTACGAGAATGAATGCCGGCAGTTGTGGAGAGTCGGGGAATAATAGAGAAATAGCGAGGAAGTACTTATGTGCCGGAGATTAGACGGCGCGGACTTAATTTTTTACCCGCTCGCTCTTTCTTTCCCTCTCGCTTTCTCTTGCCTCTCTCGCGAGAGGCAAGGCGAGACTTTTTGAGACTTTAATAACCCAGCAGCAATTACAGAAACAATTATGCACGGTCTTAAAAGCAGTCGCAAGCGTTCTTGCCGAGGCGTGTTGTTATCTGTTAGAAACCGTCTATGAAGAATGCATTTTATATCGAAGGCATAGATATCGAATATTTTTTCTATTCCATGTCGAACAGGTTTAATTTAATTCCGCATTAAATGCATAAACGATCGCTCAGTTCTTTAATCTCGTTTATCTTAAAAGCTCGATATATTCTGTTCTTCGCAGACCGAGATTCAGACGGTTACAACGTCTTCACCATCGACCCGATCACCGGCATGATCAGGACCAAGGCTGTGCTCGATCACGAGGAGCGCAACGTATACCGGGTGTCTGTAAAAGCGACCGATGCTGGACATTTGCCGCGACACAGCATCCGTGCATTGCGAGTCGAAGTCCTGGCGCTCGCAGATAATCGACCAACCTTCACCAGCAGCAGTCTTACCTTTAACGTAAGTATCTCGCCACTCGATATTTTATATTTCATTTCATTTTTTTATGATAACTTCTGCAAGTAATTAAAATGAAGAAAGAATCCTAGAATATATAAATACTCGTCATATTTTGGCATGTCTATTCAGTTGTGTTTAGTATACAAGTTAACTTTAATGAAGAGAATATTTTTATGAAAAATTCAGAAAAGTGGATGATCATACGGAAATTAAATAATATATACATATGTTTAACTTATATACAGGTGCGCGAGGATGCAAGTATCGGGCACGTAGTGGGATCGGTGTCGGGAGCGGGTCCTGCGGGTCGCGTAGCCTTCACCTTAGATTCACTGATGCCGATCAGCGAGTTTCCAGCTTTTGACGTCGACCGAAGCTCAGGCCAGTTAGTGGTCGCGCATTCCCTCGATCGCGAGAACGTTAGTGAATACCACTTGGAGATCCGTGCGTTGGACACGACCTCGATCGGGAATCCTCAAAGCATCGCCGTATCCGTGAAGATCGTCATAGAGGATGCCAACGACAACGCACCGAGGTGGCCGCAAGATCCGATAACAATTCGCGTGTCCGAAAAGGCAGCGATCGGCTCGACTATTTATAATCTCACGGCCAGCGATTTAGATAGCGGTTTGAACGGCGATCTTAGATATGGACTCGTAGATGAGTTTCCATCCAAGGGCTGTTTTGCTGTGGACTCTTTGACGGGCGCTCTGACGCTAGCTAAGCAACTGGATAGAGAGGAAAGAGCGGATTATACTTTGATCCTCAAAGCTTCGGACCGTGCACCACTAGGAGAACAATTAGCCTCCACGGTTACCGCAAGAATCATCGTCCTTGATCAAAATGACAACAATCCTGTCTTCGTCGCGCCGGAGTCTACCAAAATAGCCGTCGCATCGAATCTTCCGTTAGGTGAGTATTATATCTCGCAAGCTGTTTACACGCGCTTATATAAGGATGTTTAATTAAAATTCTTATGTTTTATTAGGTACAAGCCTGGTAAGAGTCGTCGCCGTAGACAAAGATTCTGGCGACAACGGTCGAGTGTCTTACGTGATAACTTCAGGCAATGAAGAGACACATTTCAATGTGGGCTACGAGTCGGGCATTGTGAACCTCGCAAAGCCCGTCACGAGACCCACGGATCTCGAAATCACGGCTAATGATCATGGATCGCCGCCTCGTAAGGCTGTATTGAAGCTGAGTCTAATTCCTGTGACGACGCAGATAAGTGGGCCTCCTCGATTATTATTGTTCAATCCCATCGCCAGGATCTCCGAGAACTTGCACATTGGGGCGCCCGTACTGAACGTTGCGGAATCAACAGATCAAAGTAAGAAGAAGAACTTTAACTGCAATCATTTTATCGTAATCGTTCGTATATCTTTCCGTTTCATGTCAGCTAAATTACCGAAAAACTCGACTCTTCATTACGTAACTTGTGGTCACGATTAAATATAAAATTACTATCAGTTTAACGACATCCATATTAGATTAAGCGGTATTCCAATTTATGATCTGAATAACGCGCAAGGAGTAGCGAATAAAGCCGAAACTTATCGATAGCAGGCATAACAAGGATTGAAAACGGAGCCTCCTTTTACATACTTTGTTTATTCATTGTTTGGTGATGCATAAAGTGCGCGATGCAGAAAGCACTGTTAATTTAGCGATGTATATAGGGCGTGCACAACTGAAATTACAATCTGCTATCTCTCACTCTTCGTCGGACGTCTCACTCGTATTCTGACGATCACGATTTCACCTTTTTCTCTCTATCTTCGATGTAGATAGTATACGTCGATGCTCTGCACATGCCACCTACATATCACGCGCAAATCGTATGCGTGCAAGGGCAAACATAATCGTGAACGCGCACACCGCGGTTAATAGGAAAGCCCTGCTACGAAAATACCTCGAATAATTGCCTTGAATCCGAACGGGGTACCGAGCATTATAGTAAATTCAGTGAAATGACTCAGGCTCTCTCGAGGCAACGCGTTCCCCCGTCCCTACGCGAGGCCCCGGAATACCCCGCTGCGGTGTCTCTCCCTCTCTGTTCGTTTCTCTTCCCTCGATGGTCTTAAAAATCGAGTCCCGAGGTCTCTACCGAGAAAATTCCGACGCGGCGACTCCGTACGTCTCTCTCCGGGAGAATATCGACCCGGGGAACACGTCCTCGAATTCCTCTCTCTCGGAAAATGCGATAACGAGTTTTTGCGAGCGAGCTTGTTCGTATTATTTACGACACGAGTCGCGTCATCTTTCTCGAGACGTGCGGCAACTTACGCTAATTATCGTCGCGGGAGTTTCACTAGTGACCGAACATATTCATGGGATACATTAACACTTTTACGGCGAAGAACCATCAGTTGAGAGGTGCGCGTTGCGTCTAGAAGGTAAATACGAAAGTAGCGAGTTGAGAAATATATCATAAATCATGCTAAAGTCGCTCGTTCCGGAAATATCGATCTGACATGATCACGCTCCGTGTATATTTGTACCAACACCTCTGATGAGATTTTCCATCGTGTACGAAGAGACTAGCAAAAATAGATAAGCAAAAAGCCAATTACGCCGCATGAACGTCTGATAAACGATAGTATTCCACGCGATCGCTAAAACGCTAAACGTATCTTCAAGCTCATCCGTATGATGGTTACACGTATGTATTTTGCGCATCATTTCTCCGCGCCGGATCCGCATACTTATTCCCAACACGAGAGCGATCCGATCTAGCCGGTTCGAGTCTGATGAACAGTTAAACCGCGCGGAAGAATCCGCACTTCTCGTAAACGGTAAACTAAGCAGCAGCCGAAGCCGACAACATGGAGTATCTCTTCTGGTTCCCGCTTTATCTATCGCGACACCGGAGCAGCGTATTAACGCGTCCCGCCAAAGGATCATTCTACGTATCCCGAGGGACTTGGCTATGTAGTTCTTTAGTATACAGAAGATTTGCAAAGTGTATGCGTGAAGCGGGTGGAGAATCGGAGGGTATTAGAGAGGACGAGGTGAAACAATGGCCACGTATATCATCGTGCCGCTGGCCTGCCGCGGTACGCATAGGCAAATCACCGGGTTCTCCCACCAACACTGATACCGTCATACACGGCGATTCCTCTTGTGTGTACGTGTGACGCAAAGCTACGTTTCGCCGCGAAGTACCGGGCTGGAAACACGACGAAAGATGGTCACGAACGCGAGTGGACGTATATATGTGCGTCGCGTCCCTTTGTTCTAAGCCCGCTAAAAATCCGACAAGCACGAACTCGCTAAGTGCTGGAATTCGAGAATTGAATGCATTAAAGTTCTCCGCGCGGAGAGAGGGAGACCATTATCAAAAAATCGAAGCGATTGTAACGTCCGCATTGAAGTCTCCGCGCCAAGACTTTATATATATAAACGTTAAAGTAATCTTCGTACGGAGACTTTAATGCGTTCAATTCGAATCGTGAAAATCGGACTTTGAACTCTGCTCGATTTTTCGATATTTTATTATAAAGATTTTGCCGATTCTCGAAGACATTTATGATTAGAATGAACTAATAATTTTTATAAAGTTATATTATTCGCGCGTTGTTGTATTGTATTTTAAAATATTGTTTATATACGAGGTGAATTAATTTTTTTATTTTACTTTACACAGCTAACGTCACCTTCATGATTCTGAATGATGTGGCCTTGAATCAGTTTTCCATTACGTCCAGTGGTCTAGTCATTCTTCGGGGTTCCCTGGATCGCGAGAAAGTCGCACGTTATTCCGTTTCCATTCTGGCGAGATCTAGCAAATTTCTAGACGTTACTACTCTGGAGGTGATTGTGCTGGACGAGAACGACAACAGTCCAGAATTTCGACCAGGTTCTTGTTATACTCTCGCTGTACCAGAAAACCAAGAAGCTTCCGTGATCCATACCGTAGCCGCAACTGATCTTGACGAGGGAAAGAACGGTGAAATCTTCTACAGTATCGTAGGTGAGTCGCGCAGTTGTATCTAATATGGAAAATCGCAAATATAAATATAAGAATATAAATGTTTACGCTTCACCTTCTAGGCGGCAATAACGGTGCCAAATTTACGTTGGATCCAACCACCGGTGTATTGTCGATGTCAAATTTGGATCGTGAGACCGTGCCCAAGTATATCCTATTAATTTCGGCCAAGGACAAGGGAAGCCCGAGCCGAGAAGCGCGCTGTAATCTCACCGTAAACGTTCTGGACATCAACGACAACGCTCCGACCTTCGTGAAGAATCAGTACACTGAGTCTTATGAGCACAACGACTTTTCGTATGGATCGCCAAACTATCCGGCGAATTTCTATTTCGCCAAATACATGACGACCATCTCGGAAGACGTTGCGCCGGATTCGAGCGTGATGTCTGTAAAGGCGACAGATCCAGACCAGGGTGTAAACGGGAAGATCACATATGCCATCGCCAAGGAAACAAGCTGGCTCTTCAGGGTCGACAACCTGACCGGTGTTATTACTACGGCCGGGTGAGTGCACACGTCCCGTCGTTTGCTTTTTTACGTACACCTTCTTCTCTTTCTCCGCCTTCTGTCACTCGCAGTTTCCTTTTCTTTCTGACCTTCTCCGTTTTCTTCTTTTCCTTTTTTTCTTGATCTCTCAAGTTTCTTTTCTTCTCTTGCTTTCTCTCTCTTTCCTTTCCGCATGCGTGTCTTGCTTTGCGCGCGATCTTGGCTACCGACCGACTAATTTCATCCTGGCGTTAATTATCGCGACCTTTATTGCACATCCGATTAGGATCACCCAAAGGGATATTAGCGGTCGGTAGCGTCGTAAAGTGGGAAGTGGGGAGACACACACACACAAGAAGAACCATGGATCTTAGCGAAAAAAGCTCAGCGTTCTAAGAAGGTGGGGGGAGAAAGGAAAGGAGCAGCGCGGTCTAGGAACGTCGTAAAATTATAAAGTCAGTCGATGCGCTTTACGAACGACGTACTATGGCCGATTAAACGATTCTGTATGCATAACCCGTCGACACAAACCAAGATACTCTTCCTTTTCCTCGTCTCTCTCTCGTCACCGCACGTTCGCTCTCTCGACTCTTCACGTCTCGTCTGTTCGTTCCTCTTGGTCTATGTGTGTGTGTCTCTTATGATTACGTGTGCAATAAACTGATACTCGGGACGTTATTAAACCGAAGACTTTCCGTGGCTTCCGTCCATCTTTCCAAACAGCAAGGTCGTGGTTCGTTAATTAATGGGTCATTTCGATGCAAGCTACTGTGAACCCTGATCTCAAGTAAAACTCAGCGCACCGGTATAATCGTTAATCGTTCAGTAAGATCTCTCAGATGTCACAGAAAAATCTCAAACGCCAATTATCCATGCGGAAATCGAATTCAATCCCCGCGAACTCTTTTATACATTAACTTTCATGGTTGGATGGTTTTATAGTCGCGTGATAGTTCCATAATGATTAGAAAACTTCTTTCCATGTCACTGTCTGATCTTCTCTCTCTCTCTCTCTCTCAAAATGACCGAGTATTATAATTTGCGATAAAACATTCCAACATCGAGAATATACATGCAATTTGCTTGTCATATTATACATAAATATATTCGTCATAAATACGCATGGCACCAACATCACATTCAACAATCAATCGCAATAACTGATTATTCGCATTTTCCTCGGTCATCAATTAATCCCTTCGATCTTGATTTACGATTGCAATACAATTTTGTTCGACGGCAACGCGGTTCTTATCGTTTCTACTTTCGCTTTTTATCACTTTTGCTTTCTCAGACCCAGAGATTACGCAGTGAACGTAGGAGGAGAGGGTGGGAGTACTAAATCGTGGAGGAACGAGAGAATAAGCCGCTCCTCGACGATGCAGAGAGTGTCGGTAGTCATGAGAAGACGCGCAGGGAGGAAGGAGCCGCATACTTTTGCATCGCGACAGCCGTGTGTCATTTCAGCGAGATTCCATGTGGCATTTCAATGCATTATTTCAGCCGGCAAAATGTCTGATATGCAAAACCAGATCTCGCTCGGGCTGGCTCTTTCGCTGTGCGTGTATCTCTCCCTCCTTCGTCGTCTCTCCCTCTTCGAATGCGGTCATCCTCCGTCTGTCTGTCTGTCTGTTTCTCTCTCTTCTTCTCTCCTCTTCTCTTTCCTCCTGCTTCTGTTTTTAATACCCTCTTCCTTCGATCGGTAGCCGCGGATCCAGCTTTCGTGTCGCCTTGTTGCTGTTGTTCTTACTGCGCAACGATCGTCCCTGTTACCTTTGGAAGCTGACCGCTTTGCGGTACGAGAAGGTGTACAAAACATTTTTCCCTTTTTCACTCTTGGACCACCCGGTAGATACAGGTGCGGGTCAAACGAGGACCAGTTCTCTTTAAAATGACTCGATAAATAGCACAAACCGGTGGCAAGGACGACGAGACGATACCGGAGATGACGTTGTCAACTGATCTCTCTGATTTCGTACAGATAATTGAAATATAAATCACTTTTACGAAAACTAATAGGACACACTCCCCTATTTCTACATTTCTTTTATATACTTTTTATGCATATATATTTGGTTATTTATTTGATGTAATATATTATACGTGTTTTCAAAATTCTCTCTTATTTTTGACAGAATTTTATCTTTAAGAAATTGTTCTTTGTGCTACTATTCTATTTGGATGGAGATTTGCAAAATTGCATGCTCTGCATGTTGGCAGGAACGGCGAAAGATAACTGTGGAGTGCTTCGAGTTAGCTTCGCACAATTGTAAATAAGCGTATCGAACTCGTGCACTATCGGCGTCCGATCATTATCCCACGCTTATTAAGAATTATTGCGAGTATTACGTTGCATCGCGAAGGCGCGCTGGGAACTTCTCTTGCTCGACGGTCGCGCAACTTTATAATAACATTATTTTTAGATACCATTTTTGCGAAATATCCACGAATTAGTTTTAAACTTTTTCCGAGTAATACATTGGCGAAATATATATAATTATCATGATTTTTATTAACAAATAATGAACTATGATATTTAATGTATCTTGAAACATATCAGATAAAGTTAAACTTGGAAAAAGTACATTATCTTACTTAATTATAAATTTCTTTAATTTTAGTTCTATCAATCATTCTACAACAACTAATTTTCCTTTTGTTCTTGTTTGATATAGTTCATTGGACCGTGAACGCCAAAGCGTCTATAGCTTCCATGTAATCGCTACAGACAGTGGCAAGTACGATGCGAAGAGCACTTCGGTAATCGTCGAAATCAACGTTGGCGACGTCAACGATAACGCGCCAATTTTCAAAGAATATCCCTTTCGGAAGCGCGTACCCATCGGTATACAACCCGGTCAAAATATTCTACGAGTATCGGCCAACGACGCTGATGATGGTGCCAATGGAGATATCGTGTATTCGTTCCTACACGAGCAGGAGAAGCCAAAGTTTCGAATACACCCCAACACCGGTGAAATAACGGCACGTCAGTCGCTGTCGCAGGATAACGGCAGGATCTACCGTTTGGAGATACTAGCCAGAGACAAAGGCAACCCGCTCAAGAGCGCCAAAGGCTTAGTCGAGCTTCAGATCGGCGACTTCGTGGATCTAGCGCCGGCCTTGAAATTTCAGAATGACACGTACAGCGTCGTCGTTCAAGAGAACTCCGCAGCTGGCACAGAGCTCATTCAGATCACCGCAGTTCGCACCGATGGCAGAAGGCAGCATGTATCCTACTCGATCGTGTCAGGAAACGACTTCGACACCTTCGCGATCGATGCGGGTACCGGTTTGTTGCGCGTCAATAATCCTACAAGACTCGATGCGGAGCTCTGGAACGACCTAACGGTGAGGCTTAGCAGCGAGCCGGACGACGCGACCCGCACCAACTCCTGGGGCAGATCTCTGGAAGACCAGCAACCGAAAGAGCCTAGAGAAAGTTCGAGGCATGTACTCAATGTAATGGCGAAAACAGCGGGACCAGATGTCCTGGAGGCATATGTCAAAGTGGTTGTTAGATTGTCTGATGTCAACGATAATCCGCCGATTTTCACGCAAACGCAATACTCGGCTACTGTGCTTGAAGGCAACGTTAAAGGAGATTTCGTCGTTAAGGTAAGAGTTTTATAAGAACTTGTGCATTATATAGCATTCTAGTCTACTAAGCATTAAAGTCAAAATGCAAAGCAATATTAATAAATATTGTCATCTTTATGTTTATTATCTATGAGCTACTATAAATGATTTATAAAATTCTTGCATAAACTTATATAAACATATATATATAATTTACAAATTATGTTTCACCAAAGATCAAAATATATTTTGTAAGGAAAGATTCAGCACAGATGTAGATACAAAGGACAAAATCACACACTCAAATATTGAATACTTATGTATTTTCTCTGTATATTTTATAATATACTAGTTAAAATATAAAAATATATATATACTGATATAAAAATGTATACTATTGGATATACACATATTTATATTTGTTAATATTTGCTTTTGTAGCTTTCAGCAAGTGACGCTGACCAAGGTCTGAATAGCAGAATTTTATATCATATTGTGGATGGTAATCCGGATAACGCCTTCACCATAAGTCCGCCGTATAGCGGAGTTGTAAGGACCAATATAGTCTTGGATCGTGAAGTTCGCGAAAAATATAGACTGACTATCATCGCGACAGATCAAGGAAATCCACAATTAACTGGCACAGCTGCATTGAGTGTACAAGTAATTGATATCAACGACAATCAGCCCACCTTCCCAAAACACAATATCATTTCAGTCTCTGAAGGTAAGTCATGAAACTTAATATTATAATAGTAAACCTGAAATTTTTGATATTATTTTTAAATACCAGAATATAGTATGCGAAAGATTTATATATGTAAATATTACCTATAATTATTTAAAAATGATCTATCAGGTAAATATAATATTCAAGTTATATTGCAACATTATTATGCTTTAGTATTTAAAACTATTGTGGTATTTGTGCCATCTGTTTTCTCTCCAAGTATTCGACTTTTGCATTTTTCGAATTGTGGCACCATTTCCTCGAGACTTTTATCACCATCAATAATCATAACTGGCGCTGGTAAAGTAAATAAAGTTTTTCTGTAGAGCCAGTCATCGTGAATTTCGTGGATTTGTCTCAGATATTCTAATGATACAGAATCTTCTTCTTTGCGCCCGCGAGCCTGCATTCTTTGATATACAACTTCTGGGGTTGTTCTTAGATATACTAAAATGCAAATATAATCAAAATTACTTAATAAATATAAAAAAATCTTTTCATTGTTTTAGTTTACAATTGTATGTACCTATTAAGTCTGCTCTTATATTAGTATTTTCTAAACACCAATCGTACCACTTTTCTAAAACTACTGCTTCTACATCTCTTATCATATTTGTACGCTTCATATTCTCTAAGAAGCATCTTGCACTAAATATGGACCTTTCCATGATTTTATAAGGTGATGGTGTGCTCAGAGTGTGTAATTTTAGCCTAGTTAATTGAGCATACGATTGAAATAGAAAGGCATAATTTATCGGGTCCTTGTATAACAGATCCTGAAAACAAAATATCAGTATGTAGAAATATTTTTTCAATAATTATATTAAATTTCTTGAAACTATATGATCTTGCTATATATATGATGTGACGTTTTTATTCAAGATACATCTGAAATATATTTGAACTGAAAAAAAACTTACCAACAAATTTACTCCAGCCACATCTCGCCATAAATTCACTGGTTCTTGCAAAATTGTAGCGTTGTTAAAGTTTTGGAAGTGATTTAAAAATGTTGTTTTGCCACTTCCAATATTTCCTTCTATACAGATTGTAAATGGATTGTTGTAAAACTTTTGTGGAGAGGCCATTTTCTTGATAGAAATGTAGCAGCAGCGGTTTCCTGAAACAAAATATATTGTTCTTGATGTAAACTTATTGCATCAAAGAAAATTAACATCAATTAATGATTGAATTATTCTTTAGAAATCAACCAATTAAACAATTATATTCTGCTTCTATGTAATTAACAGTATATAAATGTTCATACCTATCATATTAGATTATCGCGAGTTGCATAGTATGTGTGTATTCAAATATCATAAGTAAAATAGTACCTATGGTAATTATCTTGATGATAACAATATCTGCTTTTTCGTCTTTTGTATCGATTTATACAGACAACGTGCGAGAGTTTCTTCTGAGGTTAACGAAACACAGTTATGTCTCTTCTTGTTTATCCTCTATATTATCATATATATTTGTCACGTAGCACTATAAAATTGTTTGAAAAATACGTATTGTAGCCACGTTCGACTGATGCTAACTGGCGTAGATTGACGTCGATGCACAAGACGCACTGACATGCACGACAGCATTGCTGGGCGAATGCGTTTCCCGCCGAAAATATACATCGCCATGTTGTGCGTCATCTGCTGAAGAACCTGTTTGCCATCTGTTCGATGATATAAAAGCGCGATCAGTTGTACGCTTGCGTACCAAACTGGCGGGAAAATTAAATGTATAAATAACAAGTCTCGAGAAAGTGTCACAAGTCGTTTAAGCTAAATCTCTTCAATAATTTATTAATAAATTATTATAGTCACTTATCATGTTAAATACATATCAGAATATATGTAGAGAACATTTAATATAAACGCGTAAATTTCAAGTTGTTAATTGCAAGATATTAAATATTAAATTCCACTTTATCGTGTTACAAATATTAAGATATTGAATAATATCTGAATATTACGGATATTTTTTCCAATCAGGTCATTGCAAAATTATGTTATAATCGCAAACTGTTCTCAGTACATGAATTGCTCATCTTCCATAGTTCTACCTCTATTAAAGGCAATTACATTAGAATGCGAAATAGTAAGGGACTCGTTAAGATACTTGGTACCAATGACAGTAGCATAGCAGTATCTGTGATAATCTTATCGACAATATCAGGTAGAATTTCACCTACAATGACGATAGCTCGAGTTTCATTCTGGTCATTTCGAATGTCTCAGCGATGCCCCTTCGAAATGCAACGGGTTTCATGATGGGTTCACTCCTCTCAAGGTCGCCCACGTGCGACGATAGAAGGAGAGAGGTAGTGGGACTGCATACCAATGTATGAAAGAAGGAAAAGAAGTGAAGAAAAAATGCATTTATTGATATCGCGACACTATTAGTGCTCTGAGATCATGTCATCATCTGTATAAAGACATCCAACTAAGAATCGAGCAAAACATTTTAAACAAGAAAACTTGTATATAATTTAACGCTAAATTATTAAATATTATAATGATAAATCTAGATTACATTTTAAATTAATTTTAAATAAGTCTGTGCATTCGAGAGAAAAATTATATATTCAAGAAATATAATAATTCTAAATATAAGCACACAGTCAAGTCTATATATAGATTAGCATTTTTAGCAGAAAAGGTAGACATGTTTTATATTCAAAATGAAATTTGATTTGCGACGAAAAGAGAATTCAGTATTTGGAGAGAGAGGGAATGATATATACAGGGTGTCTCAGATACAGAACAGATAAACGATGGCGAAGGTGAATCGATGAAGAGCGCGAAAGCAAGAGAAGGCAATGGAAGAGAGAAACCCAACTGCATTGAGAGGGCGGGAACGTATTCTACTCTCCAAGTATAAAGTTAAGTGGCAAAGGATTTATGCCGGCATTAAAGTCCAACTGTTCGGGACAATCTGCATAACTTAAGCGAGGCTGCCGAGGCGCGCGTTCGGTGGCTTGGCTCTCCGTTTCTCTCTCTCTCTCTCTTTTTTTCTCTGTTCTCGGTACACCTTCCTCTTCCTCCTCGGCCTTTCTCGCGTCACCATATTGTTCCCCATTGACAGATACGATTCAATGGAACGGCACGCAGGATCGAGGTGGCCGCGAGTTTGACGTACAAGCGCCAACCTCGCGCTACCACTTCACTCTCTTTCTCTCTCGTCCCGTCTTCACCGTGAATTTCCTTTCGGTCGGCAGCTAGTCAACGAAGATGACGCGACGAAAGACGAGTGGTGATCGAGTAAATTCAACCGCATCGAATAAACGAAGGCGATGCGACTGTGGTTTCAATGATGCTTCGAATAAGTCATCCTCTTCTTTTCTTATGGATCCGTTTCTTCCTATCGGATGGAATTTCCAATAGCGAGCAGGTGGCGAGTTACGCGCATTCTAGCAATCGTTGGAAGACGACGCGGTATAATAAGAGATTTCTTTTAGAGGGACCTTTTATTGCGCTCGCGTTTTTGTTTTCATCTTTGCTTTCTCTTGCTGCTGCGTTGCTATTTCTTCTTTTTCTTCTTCTTTCGAGAACGACTCGTAATAGCATAATATGAGATTACTATCTAATTTGTATCGCCGTAAAAACTCTTCAGCCTCGGTGTAAACGAGATTGCCACATCGATTTATTTAACGTTGCACTCCTTTGGAAACCCATATCTTCCAGTTGCAGCCACGATAGTGACGAAATCCATATCGTAGAGATGTCGTTTTGCCTATAGAGATAATAAACTTTTCACAGCTCATTTATGATCCTCGCTAAATTTACACTTGTGATATTCTGCATCGACGAATATCTGTTCACGATTACGTGGCTAATGTATTTTGCTGTATTCAAAGCAAATTTGATAATAAAAGAAATATGAATCATCGTAACGCGAGACGTGACGGGATAATGAGCCTGTTCTACGTCTTCTAGAGAAACATTCCTCGCTAGATTTTTACGGTAATCATAACCTGCCGTTCTCACGTAGTGATTTATGCTTATAAATTGCTAATTAATAGCGCGGCTCAGCACGAAACGCTTCAACAAAAGTAGTTTACGTTCTCATTATATACCAGAACTCGCGTCCTTCCATGATAGCGATATCGATTACATTTAATCCGTGCGAATCAGGTTTTGCGACCTATGCTCGTCCTACGATAAACGCTTGTAATTACTCCGGTAGGAATAAAGGATGTAATTATCGTCCAAACCGGGAGGCGCGGCTCATCGATGTTGGATGAGCCTTGCCTCTGCTCTCATAAGGTGCTTTGTGTGCGCATCTGTACATTTGTGGGAGGATTTAATCGACAGCATCGATTGGGGTTGATTCCAAAAGTGGCATTGACTCGAGAAATCAAGAAACAAACAATGGTGGACCACCGACGAGCATCTTCTCCATACAAGGAACATAATGTCACCAGACACTGCCGTGTTTATAGATTCAATTCGTGAAATACAAGGAACATCCGAGAAAATTACCTCGATGAGTCAGATGCTTAAAACGTTCTAATGAAGTTATATCTGTCTACTATAATAATTTTTCGAGGAAAGATTCAATATTTGTTCTTTAATTTTTAATTCTTCTTCTTCTTTGATGCTATTGAAAGAATATTTAAATATCGAGAATTTACTTCTGCTCTCAATTGCTCAAACAGTCGCTGCATACTCCACAATTTCTGCTTCTGGTTCCTCAAGTCTGGGATTAACAGAGGGTTAAAGTTGTAACAGAGTTATGTCGCGTATTCGCATTCGTAGACGGTGGGATCGCTCCGGAAACCGATTTACACGACTTTAACGATCTCTCATGAAATTTACGAGCGGTCGCAGCCGCGTACTCCAGCTAGCCCTCATGCTAGCCCCCTCGAATAACATCGGTACAGAATAATTCTTTTACTGCCGCAGGTGTTGCTATGCCCAACGTATATCACCCGGCTGGATCGTAGAATCAAAAGTCCGGTCTCTGATGATATACCTCTTCCTAACTACATATTCGCGCACTATTTATTCTTTTAGCGAGCCGAAGAATTTCTTTTGAATTGTTCAGAACATTATTTAGAATATCTTTATTTCGTAATTTTTTATTTTTACAGAAGCTTCAACATTTGTCATATCCGGATATTAGTTTATGTTTTGAGCACAATAAAAAAGCAATAGTAAATCTTGGAAGAGTGAGCAAAATGCGAGTGGCATCATTTGGAAAGAGGGTTGTTCGATTGCGATTATACATATTACGATGACTTATGAGAAGGCATAAGCTCATATTTACGGACAAATTGCATCCAGGTGCGGTGCACCGGAGGTGCATTTGAATTGCATTTCGCATATCGTAATGTAAGAGAGATACATGTCGCATCGCGTACTTTGTGCTCGCAAATTAGTGCTCCCGCGTTACGGTTTTCAATTTCCTCGTGGACGAGATGATATTGTATAATTTACTCACACGGCTGCTGTGCGATCCGATCGTGCTTCGCGAATGAGAGGCTCATCCGTTTCTTCCGGCGGATTCGTTCGACCGGCTTCTTCTTAGCACGGCCAAGATAAAACGATTCGATAGTACGGATTCAATGCATTTTAAGCACGACCCCCTTGAAGTGTCTTTAACTTCGCGGAAGAGCACGCCCTGATCCGTGGGCTACCTACACGCTCCGCGTCGTTTATGTATCGCGCACGATCGTTTCTCAGTGACAAAGTGCCTTCGCGACGAGGACAAAAGAACGAAATCAATGGCATTTTTATGCATATGGAATGCAATTCGTCAGTAGCAACCGCGTGCTTCGCAATTTAGAGCGATAAAACCGTCGCTCTTCATTGTGTACTCGAGATCCAGCTTTCTTCATCTTCCAGTCGAGCATTTTTTATCAATTCTGTGCATTATTAAATCTTAGAATATAATTATTCAGTTGTCGTAGCAATAATATATCTTTTATTTACAGATAACGATAGATGAAATAGATGCATTTATTTCTTTACTCAATATCATTAATAAACTTATAAATGAACTTGCATCTGTTTAATTTCAGGTACAATCATGGGAACTGTACTGACGACCATCACGGCGAACGACGTTGACAGTTCGCCGGAGTTGACGTATAGATTCGGCAACTTGACGAACCCGGGACCCTTCAGCATCGATCGATACGGCGGCAAGGTCGTTCTACGGAAGCGTTTGGACGCCGAGACGCGTTCCGAGTATAGTCTTCAGGTGATCGCCAGCGATGGGATTCACGAGGCGACGACCGACCTCATCGTTCGTGTGACCGATCTCAACGACAATGCGCCGCGATTCGAACAGGTCGTCTACGTAGCTGTCCTCTCAGGTACGTATAGGTCCTCGAAGGCCACGATTTTGAGTCCGAGATGAATGAGAGTTCGAGGCAGGTAGCGGGCAATCGGGAACTTTTGACGATGATCGGACGCGATCGTTTCAGCGAACAGGTCATAATCCTTTGATTTATCGAGGAACGATCGTTCCCCAAGATTGCGAGATCGGTTGTTCCGTTATGGAGCGATAGCGTAGGATGGAATCGCGAGACCAGCGTTACGGAACAGTAAGATTCTTTCGGCGAGTTTCGCGGTTTTGTTGCCGAAGCGTTGCGAATCTCTCCTGCGGTTCACCGCGCGTTATTAAAGCGTATTAAAGTCTGTCCGTTAATGGTTCCGTTTATATAAATTACATTGTGAAAATTTCGACCTACTTTAATATCTCATCCTGAACGGCAGATAATTCATTTATTTATTTTGTGTTATTTTATCGTTAGTCCATATTTAGTATCCGTTATATCATGAGCTTATTATTGATTATTATTGATTGAGTTTTGTCACCCGCTAGACGATGCTTCGGTGTTAGCATCCCGTCGAAAAAATCGAATGTAGTATAGGGGCATAAAGAAATGAAGAAAGAGAGGAGAAGGGAAGATACAGGCGAGCTTCTCGGTGCGAAATAAACGCGCGTTTAAAAACTGGTTTTTAGTAGACACGCGTTGTGTCCTGTTGTCCATGTTCCAAACTCGAATTGACACCGCGCCGAGATAAAGCGCGCGAGAAAGAGCAGCGCGCGGGTGAGAGGAGAAAAGAGAGAGGCTGAAAAAAGAGAAGACAGGTACAAGGAAGAACGATGAAAAGCTAGCTGCTCGAACGCAGGAGAGAAGAAGATACAGTGCATTGCGAAAGAGGGAAGAAGAAGAGCTAAAGATAGAGAAGGAGAATGCGAGATCAGGGCAGGACAAGGGCGGAGAGCGGGAAGCTCGGAGAAAGAATGGTATGGATGAATGGGGTGGAAGGACTGAGGAGGATTGCGAACTCTTCGCACATAAATAAACGCGAGGACACTGATTGCGAGGCAGCCGAAAAGCCGCCTTCGACGACTGAGATCACTTCGTGAAAGAGAATTTTCTTCGAAACTTATTAGAAATACATAGATCCGCGCTTCATGTTGTATTTGGTTGAGGGATAAAACAATGGAGAGAAAGATAGATTGGCAGTAGATGTAGAAAGGATTCAAGCGAGGAAGCTCCCACAGTGACAAAGCCGCGAATTTGCATCTTTTCCTCCTTTCCAACTCACATCCTGTGCTTCGTTCCGCATGTTCGCAAAAAGCTGTGTAACGTTTCTCGAGGACAGGTAGATCGGTTGTAGATATAATCGAGCGAAGAAGTTTCGGCGAAAATTAATGAAGCACCTGAGCAATTAATGGGATTCATTAGAATCATTATAAATGTACATTGTATAGAAGTAATCAAGATAGATCGAAAACATTTTGTTGCTCTCATGTTTCCCTAAAATTGAATTCTAATTAGATACTGAAGAATTCTTACCTTATAGATTCAATCTGTCTTTCAAAAAAAAAATAAAATAAAATAAAATAAAAAAAAAAAAGAATTGTTGCAAAGGAATCATTAATGAAGGAATGACATTAGAAGATGTGTATATAAAATAACTGGTTATTATTTTATACTTCCGTACGATCTGGTGTCACAAAACTTTTGTTATTCTTCGTCGTTCGAAAAAGGCATAATGTGTGTCGTGGTTGAGGATCCGCAATAAGAAGATGCAGAAAGTATTTGAGCTCGTGATCTTTCTCTTGCGTCCCTGTCAAGTGGTTCTCCATACAATATATGATAATCGATCCTACGAGAGTGCTTCTTGAGTCTTTATCATTTACAAATGAATGCCGTCTCGTATTACTTTATAAGATCTCTCTCTTAGTTTTATAGAGTTAAATATTTTCCTTTTATTTATAGAAACTGCGTTAACATAACACATTGTTGTAATAATGTATTTATTTTTATTTCAGAAGGGCAAGGCAATCTGCAGGAAATTTTAACGGTGAATGCTACGGACGACGATCTTTCGGAAGAGAACAGCCGAGTACGATACTATCTGTTGCGACCTGTAAAAGGATTTTCGGTACATCCCGTGACCGGTGTTCTGACTGTTAATCGCACGGCGATACCCAGACCAATGCCGAAAGAAATGGACTTGGCGATTGTCGCGGAGGATCATGGCAAGCCTCCGGCATCGTCGATATGCTCAGTTATTGTACGACTTAGCAATCTAAAGAACGCCCTTCCAGGACGAGAGCACAAGATCACAGTAAAAGAAAATTCACCAAAAGGCACGACGTTGATGAAGCTCTCCGACGTAGATTTATTGGATGGCGCAATCGTTGTGGGCGATGATAGCGGAACATTCGAAATATCTAGAGGCAGACTGATCTTGTCCAGGACACTCGATCGCGAGACCAAGGATAGGTAAATAACGAATAAAAATTAGATTTAATATTTTAATTTAATGTTTCTTGATATTCTCTCTGTTTTATTTTAAAATTATCTAGAAGTTCTAAAGTCATATAATTTTAATTTTGCAGATACGTATTACGATTGAGCAACAAAAGTGAAAACATGACGACAGACTCGCTGATAGGAGACGAGCCAGTAATAGTAACAATAATCGTAGAGGACGTGAACGATAATTATCCGTACTTCCTGAAAGAGCTGTATCAAGTATCGATTAAGGAAGATGCTCCACGTGGAACTACCATTGCCGTCCTACCTGTCAAGGACGATGACTTAGTCGGCACACCGGCGGCTACGTTGACGTATGACATTACTTCAGGAAATGACGGCGGTCTCTTTCGGGTCGAGAGAACGACCGGCTCCGTCTTGGTGAACGCCACGCTCGATTGCGACCTCGAGCCCGAAGTCTACAATCTTGTGGTGATGGCTTGCGACAGCGATCCGGTATCACCTTTCTGCGCGCTCGCAATACTTCGCGTTCATCTGGAAGACGTGAACGACAACTCGCCAAAGTTCCCCGTTTCTGAGTATCTCGAGTTTGTCGGCGAGAACGAGCCGATCGGCACGACTGTGTTTTCAGCGCGTGCCTCGGATTTAGATCGTGGCATCTTTGGATCATTGAATTACTCCATCGTTTCCGCCGCTGCGAGCGGATTCTCCGACATCGACGACAGTTGGAAGCTATTCACGGTTGACGAGAAGTCGGGCATTGTCACCACCCGCGCCATGTTCGATTACGAACAACGGAATCGATACGCTTTTACGTTACGTGCCACAGACATGGGCGGTCGTTCCGCGGCTGTGCGCGTTAGGGTAGAAATCGACTCGAGAGATGAATTCTTTCCGCAATTCACTGAAAGAATGTATAGATTCGGAATAAGGAGCGGAATTCCGATATTGCCTGGCACCGTAATCGGTCACGTAACAGCAACTGATCGTGATAAAGGACCGGACGGTCGGGTCGTGTACCAGTTAACATCTCAGCATCCATATTTCAAATTAAATCGCACTACCGGCGCATTGATCGTGAAGCAAAAGTTGATGCATGATATCGGCGTTGAAGAATCGTCAAGATTAATAGTCAGCGCGAGTTCCGGTAGACAAGGCTCCCTGTCTAACGTAACGGTAGTGGAAATCATTATGATGGACGACAACGAAATAAACGGAATTAGAGGAGCTATTACTTTAGCGACACCGGATGTCGATTCGAATATGGCTGTGGCCACTCCCGGTGGCTTGGCCGATTGGGTTCTAGGTCTATTAATTGCTCTTCTTCTTCTCATTCTGGCTTTTGGCGCTATCTTTCTCTATCTTCACATTCGTAATCGTCGTCACAAAAAGCCCGGCACGAAGCCAGGTCTGAATGGTGAAAACAATGCCACTGCGTCTAATAGTTACGTGGACCCGAGCGCATTTGACACGATTCCGATTAGAAGTGTGACTGGAGTCGGTGCGAACGGAAACAATAGTTCCGGAAGCGCCGGAGGAGCAGGTGGCACATCTTGCCAATTTGCTCCTCCGAAATACGACGAAATACCACCATACGGGACATCCGGTCAATCCGGGCAACAGCAGGCTACCTCCGAGCTTTCTGGAAGCGATCAATCGGGTTCCTCTGGCAGAGGATCTGCTGAGGATGACGGAGATGACGAGGAGATTAGAATGATCAACGAGGGACAGCAAACTGCCGATTCCGCGAGCGACCTTTCGGTTCACAATACTCAGGAATACTTAGCTAGATTGGGCATTGTGGATCCCCCAGCTGGTACGCCTAGGAGACCCCCCGAAGCTCTTCCCCTGGACAGTCTGCATCTATTTGAAGATGAGGCAAGCACTGAGGCAGATATAGCGACATTGATTTATGGCAAGATTGGAGAACCTGGACGATCTACTTCGGGTCTGGAAGTACCGGGTGGGCCGTCGATGAATGGCTCTCTGAGCTCCATCGTGCACAGCGAAGAGGAACTCACCGGGTCGTACAATTGGGATTATTTATTAGATTGGGGACCGCAATATCAACCATTAGCTCACGTGTTCAGTGAAATTGCCAGGTTGAAGGACGACGCCGCCAGCGTTCAGAGTGGGAACTCTGGCAGTAGCGGTAAAACCAAGTCTGTACATAAAGCACCGCCACCGCCGTTGCTTACGTCAGTCGCTCCGAGATCATTAGCGGCGCCGGCGTTAGCGAGAGGAATCCTGCCGAGGTCACCAATCAGCCATGATGCTTCTACTTTTCCCTCCGCCGCTCTAAGTCCAAGTTTTTCACCCTCATTATCACCTCTGGCCACAAGAAGCCCCAGTATCAGCCCTCTCGTGCCACCCACCACCCAGAGATCCAGTCAAAGTGCCAACCGAGGAATTCCCGTTACCGATGCCGAACTAAGGATCTGAGGATATTTCGCGCACAAGTTAGTAGTGTTAATCCAGTGATGACTCACCGAGTAAATAATATCGGTAAGACAATGCGGTACCTCGTATAAAGCAGTGCGAATGATATTCCTGTTAATATACGTTGTTTAAATGCGATCGAATATATGAATGTTGCTTTTTTAGACTGTGTGAATGATGTAACTCATGGATATTAATGAGTGATTTTAATTTAGGAATTTTAATTTGACCGGCCATCAAAGAATTTAGTGACCGAATTGTTTTTCTCGTCACACGCAAACGTTGCCTTCCCGTGATAAATTATTCCATTTTCTTCCATGTATCTATAATGTGCGCCTTTTTACATCGGTTTCAAATCGGTTAGATTAGAGGGGCTTCTTGGCAAGATATACTTGGTGGCCTTCCGAGAACTGGCAATTGAGTAAATCCCAGATGATTTGAACCTGGATCTTTAGGCGCAGAGAGTATAAATTCTCTACGCCAATGCACAGCGATAAATTATTATTTGTAATTAATTAACAAAGTGTTGACTTTAGAGATAATTTGAATTTTATCATAAAAGATGATAAGAATATATATCACTCATAGAAGTGAAACAGTAAGCGGAAAAGCAGCGATTGCGCCTCGACGATTCCGTATTTATTGTATGTACAATACGGATGCATCCCTTATCCGAATCGCAATTGATAGCTAACTGAAAGAAAGTACTTCTTTCTGAACGGAATGTATATAAATATTCGCCAACTGCGACGACATTTAGTCATTAAGTAGCATTGTAAATAATAATTTGCGCGAATAATAATGTTGTCATAATCAAAAAATAGACTGTTCTTATGTAAACGGGAAACTGTAAATGATCGCGTCATGTTCGTCGAGTTGCGTAAATGTGTACAGTTAATAATTTACTTTTATAATATTAAATTGTGGATACACGAACATGGCGATATCATTCGAGTCGAAAAAATACGCGCTACTACGAACGAACTGATTACACCGGATTTCGTGGTAACGCATCTCTAAAGCTGCCTATATAACTTCGTTGATTAATTGTTATTTCAGTCCTGTCTTCCGAGCGCAATTTCGATGTAACGGGAGATGAAATTTCAGCCAGGTACATATATATATATATATATATATGCACTGATTATATATAAATATGTCATATTTTGTATAAATCGCTCTGTGTACAAAGACTCTCCCGAGCCGAGGGCCTTACGCGATGTGGGCCTTAAATAAATGAATTTTTAGGAGATTTTTTTCTTTCGTCTATCCTACCTCTCATTTCATGTAATTAATTTAATTTTTTAAATTAATTTTTAACTAATTTAATTTTTGTTTATAAAAAAATACGTTATCTAATTAGGAAGATTTTAGGAAGCAAGGAAGATTTGATTTATAAAGAAAAAAGACAATGTTTCCACATATAAATCTGCTTCTTGTTATACAACACGTTGAGCCTTATAAGTATACACGTATTCTTCAGATTATTTTGATAAGTTAATTCCATATTCTCTCTGCTCGTTTTATTCTCATAGCTACTACTACATTACACTGTCTCGCTTTATCGATGCTTAAGCATAAAACGTGCCGAGTGACAGGAACACCCGATATATCACTTGAAGGAATAGCAAGGTATATTCTAAACGAAATCGATAATTAAAATTTTATAATGAACAAAGCTCTTAACTTCATATTATAAATTAAATAAGAAAAGAGAACTTATATATAAATTATATAATTACCACGCTTTTCTCTGTTTTCTTTTTTACATAACTATTGATTCCTTCAATTTCTTTAATTTCTTATTAACTTCTATTCTGACAAATGGTTAATTTCCATATACATATAATACTTATATGTATGATAAAATGTAAATGACATTCATGCGTCAATGATTTATTTTGGTTTGGAGTTTATATATAGTAGAACGACTTACTTTGAGTAATATTTAAACTAAAATAATATTTAATCTAATTTTTAATTAGTAACTCTTGTTGTCTCACAAATATGACAACAAATAATGGTTTTTATAAAGGCGCATAAAATAATATTACTTATTCATCTCGTAGAAATCAATGGTGAAAAATCTGAATAATGTATTGCAATTTATATGGATGGATGAACATTTAAAATTACTAAAAACGCTAATACTATGTACTTGAATAATTTGTACATTTAAACAGTCTCTACGATGAAACACGTATCGACCTATCTACCTAGTGCCTAGAATCAGCGAAACCATATAGGAATCGTTTACCCGATTATGTTATGTCTAGCAAAACGATTATTATATTGTGTATGTATCCAGTCTTGTTGCTGCTCGACAAGGAGCTGCGCTATTTAATTTCCCATTTTTTTCATTATTAGATTATAGAAGAATTAGTATATAGTCTTCCACATAGGAAAAAAAACATGAATTTTGTTTATTCTAAGCTATTGAGTGGACAACATTATACTGGAAGGTATATTATTTCTATGCAAGGAGCACTATAATCGAAATAGAGTGCGATGAGACAGAATCTTGGAGATTCATAATTATGACTAATAAAAATGTAAGTCATCGAAAGTCTTTCCAACATTGCTCCCATATTAAATTTCTTTTAGAAATTTGATTGCTAAAAAATAATAGAGAATTTTTTTAAACTGCGTGTCTGATTTTATACAAAACATAATATGTCTGTCTCAAGCACTCTTTCGCAAAGACACTCGTCTTTCAAAAGTAGAACACCTAAAGTGGTTCTATGCACCAGTTTTTTTGTCAGTTAATGGTCCGATAGTTAATTCGATATGACTTCTAAAATCTATTTAAAGTCCTATGCCCAGTTGTAAGTCTTCTTTTGTCGTATCTTCTGCGTAGGGTCTATATTGATCTCCGCTAAACATGCATTATTGTTATGTAATCGTTATAATTAATTTCCTTCTCTTAATTTGGATTGTAATCAGTGACGTAATTAATACGTGATATAAAGCGAATGGTCTTTCACGGAGTCTGATGCAGTCTTTAAACCGTACATTATAATTATATATAAGATAATCAAAATGTGTGTATTTGTTGTGTATCCTGTAGATATGTGTAGATACACGTAGCTATCTAACAATTATCACATGAAGCTCCTCTTTTCCACAATCATCGTAAAAAATTCCTTTATCTCCGATAGAGAAAGTATTTGTCGCGTCACTGAAGACAGTCGTGCTCGATCCTCGTATTTTGGGCTAGGACATTCTAAAGACATCGAAAAAGCGTCAGGGGTTGGCGATCTAACACTACACATGATCATGGCACGAGGGTACATCCGAAAAAAAATTCAATTTTTTTTACTTTCATCGCGCCTATTCTTAATTGGCGCATCGAAATAAGGCACCACATTCGACGCTGTTTAGGTGATCGATCGTAGAAACCGGTCATCGATCTCTACGAAGATGCAATCGAATCGGTGATCTCCATGATTCGCTGTAGTGAGTGTCTTCATTTACGATCATCAACTATTGTTTATTCGGCTGTGAGTCGGTCAGTTCGATTAAATATCTCTTTTCGATCCAATTTCATTTCTCAGGTTGGTGTGCAGGTTGGACGATTTTATTATCCCGACTCTTGTACAACGTCGAGCGTAGTTAATATCGTCGTAGTATCGAATCGCTTTCTCTTCTCGAGTCTTTGAAAGTCTCGACCAAAGTTTCAAAGTACAATATATATTATATCTTATTGCTCTGTGCCTGCGTCACACGTAACACATTCTCCATCGTTATTGACTTTGAATCTTGCAATACGGCGACCGTATTTCCCATGAGAGTTCTTGCAGTTTGCCCCACTATACAGAACTCCTTGCGGAAAATCTTTACAAACTTTGAAAATTATTAAAACGAGGAGAAGCAGAGGAACTAAACACGCCTTTGGCGCAATGTACATATGTTTTTGATCCTCGTTGAATAGGCTTGTTGTAATATAGGTGAAGTCGATTTGCTTGTTAACAAGATTCCGCGATGTAAATTATTCTGCGGGGTTAACGACTAGTCAAACGGTCTCTTCTGTTATACTTCTCGACATGTGCAAAATTCCGAGGCTGAAAAGAAAACAGAAGTTTGAAGGACGTAATTTTACAATTTATCCGAAGACTTGATAGAAAAAAAGCTATTTTCTTAAAATTAATTCTACGAAAATAAATCTTAATTCCGTCAAGTCTTCATTTTGCTTACTTCTGATCTACAAATAAATCAGTGATTCGCGAAAGCGATATGTTACTAATGACTCAATGTGATTCTACTATGATCATACAAAGTGATAGCCTAGCCCTACCAACAAGCGTGTTTACTTGGCGATCCCCGCAATTCGTGCGTCATCTTGCATCTCGACAACGACGGTGTCAGGATCAGGTACCCTGTTGGCGGAAAGACATCCATTGGCGATAGTAGTTGGCAGAACAGTCTCCGACTGAAAATACATTAATATCCTTACGACATCGGTATTTCAAATAAAAATTCCTTCATGTAAAAGAAGCAAATGAGTTATCTAGTAATTGTCAAATATCTTTTTTTTAATGATATGTACATAATTAATTGCAAAATAATTAATTTATGTACTTGATAGGCTGCTGCATCCAATGCCATCAGTTCCTTTTTCGACAGCTGCTCGACCACCGCAGCAGCGTAACAGTCTCCTAACATATTGTTGGTGGTCCTTATCCGATCTCTAGTAGATATAGAATAATATTTTATTATTAATATTTTTCTATTGATATTCCCAACAGCACAATCCAGAGGATGATTGGATGTTCTCTGAATATCCTCTGAAAGTCTTTCGGATATGTATGCTGTTAGGGATACCGATTACCTTGAATTGTTGTAAATGTACTGTAAATTGATTGATACTTACACAAACCAGTCGATCGCGAATAAAAGAGAAACGTCATTAACAGGAGCATCAATGGCGCTTAAAACAACCAATAGCAAAACCAGGGCAGCACTTGGTACCGAGGCCGACGACACAGAAGCGGCGGTGGACGTTAGACTTTGCAAAACAGAATGATAAAATAAACGATAAATATAAGTTTTCGTGGCGTAAAAATTTCTATGTGCAAAAAGAAAAAAGTTTGTTAAAAAGAGACTTACATAACTGTGATAATTTCCCCGAAACCCAGAAAAATACCATTCATCTGGGCGATGAATATGCTGGCCACAGCGACGAAAAGCGCGGTACCGTCCATGTTAATATTGCAACCGATTGGCAAGACGAATCTGGTGACTCTAGGGTCGACTCTGAGCTTCTCGGTCATCAGACGAAAAGTCACAGGAAGTGCAGCAGCCCTGTACAAAGCTGCGTTAGCAAAGATTGGGTAAAGCACGCTTCCGATGATTAGAAAGATACACTCCATGTCGCCTAGTTGCCGCAGTCGATGGTCATTCTGGCGTAAACTTACGAGATAGCGGCATGATTTATTGATAATTTCTTAGATGTATTTGACCAAGGGTTGAATTGAATAAAACGGAATAGAAAAGGGCAGAGAAACGGTATATGAATAGAGAATGTTTGGAATTAATAGCGATGCATATTAATTACGGAAAATATCTGCGAATAGTAGACAGAGTGCCAGAGCAACAGCCAGAATGACCGTGAGAGAACAACCTGAAAAAATTAATCGAGATTAGCTTAAATCACAATCCGCAGGATGGATCCGCCAGGGACCGCGTTGCTTCTTGAATTCTGTAACAGACAATCGTATGTACCTTCATGTTGCGGCCATCAATTACTTACCAAGCGCTACCCTCGGTCTCTCAAAGTCAACCACCTGCAAAAGGCCGCGTGCAGTGCGTGTTCTAATACATCATCATGATATTCATACAGTCTCTGTTCAGATACACTGAGAACAGAGTTTCTCAGTCAGTCACAGTGTACGCACAGTTGTACGCTCTTTTCTGGAAACAGTTAATCCACAGAGAAAATAGATTGAGTTAGATACAACTGTATAAGACCTAGCTGGATCAAAAACAATATAGGCACTGTTAAAACAATAATAGAGGACAGTAATCGGGAATGGAAAAATAGCGGATTGTGGATTGTGCGGGATATGAGTCTTTTCGAATATATTTTAAACGTACGTGTTGGATTTGCGAATAAAAGAAGGGTAGGATTTCAGAGGATGACTCGTAGTGCGAACTGATAAAATGATCGTTGCTTTGTGTGACTCTTAAAAATGAATTATCAAGAGGCAAATAATCGCAAATATAATCGTTGTTCAGCAGTACAGCCGGTCATCGACGTCCTCGTCGTACCTGCAAGAACGAGCCTGACACGCAAGCAACCAATATTTTTTCAGTTCCGCCAATCTGTTTTTTTTTAAACAGTGTACTTTACGTACTTAAGTTAAATCATGTACTTTGGCGTGGAGGCCTCCTTTGGCAGTTTCTTTTCCCTCTTCCTCGCCATCGCGAGGGAAGAGTTCGAAGATACCGATCACGAGTCCCTAGCAGACTTCCACGCCACGAATCAGTCCAGGTAACACGGAGTCAGCAGATTTCCGGTTTAGGCAATATCATCATTGCCGAATAGTTTTACTTTCGCGATAACGCGGATAATGCTTTTCAAAAGTCTTCTACAACTTCTCATTCGCGACGATAATGTGTTGTTTACACGATGACGAAATTCCGTTTACGTTACCAGAAGAGATCTGGCAACGAGTTTCCGGAAGTTCGTACGGATTAATGGTCGGAAACCGGGAGTATCAGCATTCTAAGTGCTACCCGGAACTGCATACCTCTTTCCTTCTTTCTCTCTTTCTCATGTGGCATGGCGAGCTCTCCTCGCAAGCGAACATTAAAAGAGATTGTCATATATGAAGGAAGGATAACTAGGAATTGTGCCAGCTTTCACAACGTTTTTCTTTTTTTTTTTAATAGAAAAACTAAGCAAAGAGAATATATACGAAGTGAAAAGTTGCCGAAAGTTATGTAAAGCTGGCTTGACTGATTTTGGAAGGGATATCGGGATCGTGGCCTCGCAAAGCCTCCACACAGCTGGCTGAAACATATTGTCTCTGTCAATCAATTCGATCGATACACATCTTTCATCCACTCAGAGTCTTTATTTTATTTTGCGACGTCAATTGTTTTGGAATGAACTACTTGCACTATTAATCGCGCGACAGACCAGCTCCATTTCGCGTAAACGTAAGAAAGGTCCACGTGGTGAAAATAAAAAAAGAGGAAGGAGGGAAGGAAATATAAATGGAAATGTATATGGGAAACGCCCGACGAGGAAACTACGAGGTCAGAGAGTACGATCACAACGTTGACCGAGGCCCTGTGAGGCAGGCGAAATGGATTCTCTCAAGGTCGGGCTCGGATTCGAAGATCGACGACTCACGTTGATGCCATGGCGAAGGCGGTGAGAGTACCCTGGGCGAGGCCGGCGTAGAATTTAAAGGGGTTCTTTCTAACGAAGGCCATATATATCAACTGCATGATCACCAGCTGATAGAGAAAGACACCGATCGCGATCGTGACGATGAACCAGGCTAGCTGCGACATCACCAGTACCAGATCGTCCACGGCGAGTATTTTGCCTGCTATTACAGAGGTGATGCCGATCGGGGTCATCCTGAAGAAGCAAGCAATTTTTCCATCATGTCATCAAGCTGTCATTCTTGTCACTTTCGATTTTTAATTTTCATCTCGAAACTCACCACATAACGGTCGAGACCATTCGCATGATGACTTCAAACACAGCCTTGAAGAAATCTATGACAACCTGACCTTTTTCGCCAAGTGTTCCCAGGAATGTACCAAAGACCAAGCAGAAGAAGACTATTCCTAGAGTGTTCGTTCCGCTTCTATACTGTATCACTCTAATCAATTCCTCGTCTCTTAAAACTTCTGTTGTAGGTAGCTGATCAGTGTTATTCTGGAATGGTTGCTTCTTTGGAACATACACCGTATGTGCCTGTAACAACATTATTATTATTATTATTTTTCTCTTTTCGCGATATGATATATTGTAAAAATCAGAATTATTCTCACCTGTTGGAAAGCTGCTTGAAACAAATTGTCTGGAAACATGTTCCTGCAAAGTAATTAATTTATAAAATAGATATTGCATATATTTTAATAGATTGAACTAGTAGGCAATGTGTCTTCGCCTATTATGGCAAAGGGCCGTATATTTTAAAAATAACACATTTCCCACGGCCTTTATTTTATTCATAGCCCTTAAACATTGATTGAGCCGCGGTGCAAACCACGTGGCAATTTTTTAGTTAAACCAATCTTATCCTATCCTTAGTGAAATGAAAAAAATATTAAATAATTCCGATATTGCGCAATAATCTTTGATTTTAATGCAACATTGAAAAATCGTGTTAGGCATTGTTTTAAACAGAGTTTTTGTATGAATTTCGTGCGACTAAAACACGCACGATCGATGAGCTTCTATTTTCGTCCCAGTGAATAGTATCTGCGATCATGATGAGTTCCGTTTAGTGGAATTTACGGCTCGTGAAATGCTATGACCTTAATCCGACTTAGGTAACTGTGCTACTGTGCAACGATTCTGCTTTACAGTTATAAAGAGAAGTATATCGCGAGAAATAATATGTATTGCAAATCGATATTGTTAAAATGTTTGTAATAGAAACTGCACGACAAAAATTTTTATTAAAGATGTCTATCGCGAAAAAATACAATTAATAAGACGACTCCAGTCGCGATGAGATACTTGAACGTGTAAACTGTAAAATTGCGATTTTTGTTGCGATTATATTCGTTGATTGTTTTTTCTCATTGTTCCGTACACCGTCGACCTTCGCGGTTGATTACCTCTCCGTTTTTAATAGAAAAACTTTCAAGCGAGTCAATGTACATTATTGATATTGACGGAATCGATATCGGAGGCGATGAGATATCGCAGACATAATTTACCTTCCTAAATCGAGCAGGCTGTCTAGTATGTTAACGGCTCTCGCATGATGCGACGGGCTAATCGATTCTCTGATGCCGGGATTACCAGGATGAATAAGGAGGACTAGGACTACACCGAGAACAGCATTGAGCAAGGACGTCAGTATGAAGTATACCAGAGTACGAACGGCGATCATTCCGTTCATCCTAGCATTTAAACTCGCCGAACCTGAAATAATACGCGGAAACGAATGAGCTAATTCCTGGAGATGAATGAGCATTCGGCACGCAATGATGGAAACTTACCAGATATAAGGCTGGCGATTACCAAAGGTAAGATCATCAGCTTTAGCAATCTCATGAAGAGCTCTCCTGGATAGCTGATTAGCATTACCGCATCATCCCCGAGGTCCAGAGGTCGTAAACCAAATCCTGAGAGAGGAGAGACGCTGTTTTATTAATTCACAATTTTATTAATTCACAATTCTGCGTCGCGACAATGTCGCCTTTTCGTTTGCAACGTAAAGTACTTGAGAGAGATCCTACGGAGCGTCTGTCCTTGAACTATATTTAAACTTATTACAGTTAACTGGCTTATTATCTGATCGCGAAGAAAGGGCACCCTGAAAGGGGATGATGGAAAGGTGAAGGTTTGATCAATTCTTTCTTATTACATAAAGTCAGATTAATTCCATAAGCTATTCGCATTCTAATACCTAGAGTCGTATATACGTACATACATATATGCATGTAAGGTGTGCATAGATATGCATACATCTTCAAACATATTATTAATTGTCATATTAATTGGCTCACAGATCGCTTTATTAGTATTCGCAAAAAATTGATGTAGAGATTGACAAATGATCTTAAATCTTTTATTTAAAGAAAGCATGTTGAATGAATGAAGGCGTTGATTTAGATTTGAACTGACCTCTATCGATATCGTATAAATTATTATCATGCCGTCAACGTTTCCATTTATAGCGATACTTATGGATGTTACATGTTCGACTATCAAATATTAAATCAAGCTGTTGGAAATGGAATTTCGCGTAAATCTAACGCCCATGTATACATATATGATGATTCCATTAATACATTTGCCAATCGTTAAATTTATAATTTTATTAAATTTGAAAATCATGTTTTATCTCGATTAGTTACGTCAAACGTATAGATTCGGCAAAAACCATCAACAAAGACGGTTTTTATATCTTACGATTCAATTACAATAGTACAATCAAATCACATAAAAGAGCGTATTATATCTTTCATTCCCGATATTGTACGATGCAAACTAATAAAATTAATTTTCCTTTCATTAAATACGGTTCCACTATTCATTAACATTTGCAGGTAAATTAAACGATGCATTCATGGAAGCAAACACATCATATGAGTATGAAATATCTATTGTATTATAAATGGGAAAATATTGAATGTCTATTAAAAGCTAAGAAGACTTTAAGAGAACAAATTAATATGACGAAGCTCTTTCAAGGAAACCCTTTTGTCGATTATCAACATCTTTTAACAAGATGATATGTTTTTACGTAACTGATGTTTTTTCGAACTAGGTCGTTTGCGTGTACATATAAAATCGATTTATATAAAAAGTTTCACCATCATATACTTATTGCGTGTAAGATATATATTACGTCTCATAGATGATTTTTATGAACGTTTGACATATTCATTCAAACCATGTATGTACAGTTTTAATAATAGAATAAAATCTATAACAAACACACATGCAAAGCGATTCTTATTGTTATACTACAAGATTTTTGTAAACCGAAAGTGCGAAAAATACGAAAAAAATAATCAATCACTATAATAAATTGCTGATTGATTAATTATCGTGTTAAATTAGATCGAAGTTTAAATAACGTGTACAGAGTTAGTCTACCTAGAGCTGCTGAAAACGGTAAATATAGTATTTAGCATTCATCATAGTTGATACGAGTATGTAGAATCATATAAATTTTACAGTCGCACAAGATATTGTATTATATTTTCTACTTGCGTTTATCTTTCGACACAATAATGCAAGTGCAATAATCGACTGTAAAAAGGATTTTTAACTAACAAAACAGTTTTCTTACGAGAAATTCTGAAACGAAGAGTCGCAGGGAACATCCCCGACACTCACCAAGAATTATGCCGAAGAGAACGCCGGAAAGGGTGACCATGAGCAGCAGGTTCTCTCGCATCCACTTCCTGGTGTCGGCGGTCACCTTACGGGGACCCTGAGAGGCCGAGACGTCCTGCCCGCCCATCTTGGCGAACAGATACTCGGAGAATCGGGCAGAGGACTTCTCCTCCATCTCACTGGGCCGCCAGCAAGCGGCGTACAAGGGATCGGTGCCAGTCGCGTACGAACAGGCCGATCCTCCCGCCGATCTTCCCAAGCTCCCTTCTCGCGATCTCTCGCGGCTAACGGCGGGGCCCCGGCAGCACCACGACGACGACGGGTTGCCGTTTTGGGGGTGTTTCGATAAATCCGTGCGGAAAGACCAATCACTCGCGCCTACCAGACGTCTTAATAGCCTGGCGGCGGCCTGCCGGATGCCCACTAACTCGATCGTGGTACCGGGATAGGATCGAACCAGGTGCCTAGCGAGGCCGAATAACAGCTGGTTTTGATAGAGCTCGCGGAACGGTCTAAAATCGCCTCCCGTCGGCTTGTCTGACTTTACGTATACGATAGTATCCTGGGAACGAGAGGGAAGGGGGATACCTGTTCCTCTAGTTTCTAAACGAGAAGAACGCGAAACGACTTCGAATTTTCGTGGTGGTGGACCTTCTTCCGATCTTTCCGTCGAAGCAGTTGCGTCGCCAAATGTTTGCGCTATTGCACAAGGTCAGTTACCCGAGAGGTCCGCGAGTATTCTCATCTCTTCTCAAAAGTATGACGACCACCACCACCACCTCCAATCGGCGCACTTGAACTCTTGGAAAGCAGAGCTGATCAGGAAAGACAAGAGGGATCGAAACTGATACCTGACGGCGATAAAGACTTGCGAGTGCAATGGACTGTTCTGACGAGTGTTGGCGACGTTAACTGAGCGTGCGCGTAGACCTCCGACACGTTCCTCGCAAAGGATGAGCCCCGACTGCCTGGTTACCGGCGGACATCGCCGTATTGATTTGCCGGGATTTCACCATACCCCCGAACATCCCCCGTTCTTTCGGCAACGACAATGCGCGCCTGCGCAAATTCAGTGATTTCAGTCGGTCGCTAAAACGTAGCAAAATGTGCACCATATCCCGATGATGTTACTGCGCGGTGGTGCATCGCAAAGGGAAGAGCGGGAAGAGGGAGAAATCAGAGATGACGGTCAAAAGGGTGGTGACGGGGCAGGGTGCCGAGCCTCGACGCGCAAAAGGAACGACGAGAGATGCAAGGACGCGGCAAAGGACAGCGGAAATTTCTCAGAATTGCGAAATACATTATCCAAAAGGAGAGCCTTGAATTTCATAGAATCCGCTCTACAATGTATTTATTATTTCGTCCTACTTTCAGGTGCTAAATAAATAAATTTTTTTTTTTTGCGCAAAGCGATGCCTTATGTACGTCAGCGACGACCCTGTATATTTTAAGAATAGAGTGTTCCCATTTTATTTTAAACGCTTGACGTAACAAGTCGAATAGAACGTTATTCATCAAAGAACCGCGTTGTAATATATAATATATACGAAAATGGATATTATATCCTTTATTCTTATATTTTACCCTCATATTAATCAATTTTTTGTTATATTATTTAGAAATCCATATTCAAAAGAACATTTTTATTTTCAAAAAGTATTTATGATTCATAAGCGATCGCATGTTTTATTATCTAGCAAAAGATAAAAAATAATTTTGCATGGAAAAATCGTTATGTTACAGCTTAAACGATGTACTATATTGTAAAAAGATAAAGATTATATAGAAAAAAATTGTAGTATTAACACAGAACGATGAGATAGATAACTGTCTGATCGAACATGGGTAAGTACTACCTTTGTCTGACCAAGCTGATATGGACTACTGGCAAGTTTTGTGGATGAAAGAGAGAAAGCATTTGCTCTGAACAAGGAAAGATGGAAGCACCGCGTTTGAACGATGGTTTGCTTTTTTTTCACGTGGATAGAAAAATTTTGTTTATCGTGGCATAATAATTGAGAATAATGGATACAATTATCTTGCTGTAAAACGATATCGCGCTAATGATATCGTCAAATAAAAAGATAGAGGCAACTTAAGGATCGATTCGATTTAGAAACTTCAATGCAGGTAAAATATCAATTTTATTTTACCTTTAATAGCGTATCACCCTTTTACATAATAATCACGTTATGTCGCTGTCGGCTGCACTCACCTCGTGGAAAATTGGAAAAGCAGCACAAAATTCCAATTGACTGGTCGTATAAAAGCGTAACAAAAGGAATATGACACTGCAGGATAAATTCGCAATGCTGTTAACGAAACACAACAGTTATTTATTCTCTTATTAAAGCGAATAAATATTTACCAATTATTATTGTTATTATAAAGTTATATAGAACAACCATCTGAAAAGAGTGATTTTACAAAAAATTACTGATTTGTCAATAAAATTGACAACAGCGTTAGACATTCTATCGCACATTAATATTATTAAACTTCAGCTCTTTAAACATGCAACGAAGCGATCTTAAGCATTCGCTAGTTTTAATTCCTTTTGATTCTTTTTCGTAGACTCTCACGTCAAGAATGATTATGAAAAATGATCCTGAGAGACGATTAACGATTGCACTTTGTTCAAGACGATAGGTCGATGTCAAAGGGAAATTCCTGTGTCATAGTTCGTTGACAAATGTTTTCTGTAAAGTGTAAATTAAGTAATCCAACAAAGGGCCCCGACATTTCGACGGGACAGGCCGCCACGTTGAATAATGGAGGTGATGTCCTAGTCCGAGTTTGACTTCGAGTTTCGTAGAATGTTACGAGAGCTAAGGTCTCACCTTCTTCGTAAATAATCTAGAGCTGCGGGAACAACCAAGTGTGTAAGCAAGCAAACGCCTATTTACCCTGTCTCCTTCGTATACAATGTGTTTCTTGCATCGTTCACCATTCTTCGCATCCGTTTTCTCAATTCATCTATCTATACGTATTAATATAGAGACTACGGGACAGCAGTGCAAGCTCGGACATCGGGGAATGACGTTGTCCATGCGAGAGAAAAATGTCATTTACATCCTTTACTTATTGTGCGTAATTTATGCATGAAATCTCGTCGACGTGATAATCTACAGGCTTCCAATTTGACGGTATGTCAGGAAGATTTATATGGGTATTAAATGCGTATTATATAGGAGAAAAAGTTTTGTGTTTTTTTTTAATATTCAAATATTTTATTTAAATATTTTATGCATATTTGTAAAAAAAAAAAAAGACTGAAATAAGGACGCTAAGAAAAAGAGAGAAGAAGAAGAAAGAATGAATTCAAAATACGTAGGTACTGTGAACTAGCTAGTAGATAAAATTTCCCTCCGTACAGCCTCTTTCCTGGCGATGGAAACGAGATCTCGTATAAACTCGTTTTGTGCCTACCTGGCGTCTACGTTTCGCATGCAAGGCAAGAATCTCATTACGAAGAAGCTACCAAACGAACATCGGAGAAATTCGATTGGATATTGGTCGAAGGTTCAGGAAACGCGGTGAAACGTCGGAGGGGAGAATAGAATAAGAACGAAGAAAGAGAATTCCAATGATCAGATTGCCGACACGCAGAAAAATACAAATCTACCTTTTTAGAAGTGACTTGGGATTTATTCGGGTACGCGTATTTACTGATTAAACCTCCTCAAATCTCATAGAGCTACTCTACTCTCTCATCGAGTATAAAATATCCGAGGGTGAAAGAAATGAGAATCCCATATAAAATATTCCATAGATTCGCGATCTCTCCCCTAAGCATAAACGTCAAAACGTCACTAGCAATATTATTCTCTTTTTGACGACATAGCAAAACAATTTTGGAATTGTTATAAAAACGAGAAAAGAAATAATTTTTATATTTCATAATCAGTTAGTATGAAGAGATCTTTGGAGAAATATATAAATGGAAAAACATGATAGACGTATGATGTGTACGTAAATAGAATGAATAAAATGAATAATTCCCTTTTCTCTCCACAAAACACGCGCGTGTGTGTATGTGCATTTCGATTATCCGAATAAAATATGCAACGGAGATCGGGAAGCAGTGCGGCAGTTAATTTATTGACGCGTTTGAATATTTAGCGGACATGTCGTACACGGAGTGACCGTTAGCACACTGCCGGCGATAATTAACGTTTAAACCGTGGAAGGTGCACGAGCGACATGTAAATACACCGATTTCAGCTCACTTCCGTGGAATCAAATCTATCGACGCTAATAATAATGTCACAAATTCTACGGATATCAGACGCTCGGGCGTAATTTAGGCTGACGAGAGCTAGATTCGCATACCAAATATATATATATATTTCTGCGATGTAAACAAGGTATCGAAGGTCTCGTATATTGTGCAAATCATCGACTAGACCTATGTGTGTAACAACTACTCGGCATATCCGTCAATTTGAACGGGGTGTCACGTCGGCGACGACAGTGCAAACAAACGGGTATTAAGCACTTAATATTCGACCTAATTCGCGGACCTTCTGCTGGAATATGTCATCTTGATCGTTGGAGAGTGCGAAACGACGCAAGAATATTACGTACACACAAACACGATGACTATTCAATAGAACCTTTTTATGTGTTTCGCTCCGAGTGATAAGATTTCAGAGATATATCAGGTAAGAGATATTAACTACGACAATTAAAAATCACTAAAACGATAAATTAGATCCTCCGCAACTTTGTATGATAAGTACTCACTCATACGGTTATTTGTTATTCATTCTAGGACCGCGAATGTTGAAATAATGTGCAAATATTCAAACATTTGGTTGAAGCTGCAAACTTGCTGAGTCGACTCGATGATTGTGTCAGTGGTAGACGGTAAGTTGCTTGAAGCTGGATCCGCTATCTTGGCGAAGACAAGAGCTATTATACCAGCACGTAAAGCCACGTCAGCCAAAGCCAAAGTCAAGTGTTCGTTCTTTTGCCGAGGCTTCTCTTTCCTCCTTTTTGATGACGTTCAAAGTACGCAGTATGCAAGTCTTTCAGTTCTTCGCAACTTTTCCTATAGCTCTTCCCTTCATATCTTTCTCTCTCGACAGATCCCTCGAATTTTATAAAGTCACTGAATCAGACGGTTGCATTTATGGTAAATGCATCTTAACACGTTTCATCTACGAATCGCGCATGCATTTTACAAGATGATTTCTCGAAACTTTTGTCTTGACGCTATATCTCATACATTGATTCTGCACGTTTATTCCACAGAGCATTTCCGTCTCTCTGTTTGTATTTAATTACAGCCCGCGTATACAACTTTGGAGAATATATGTGTCTGTACTTCATCAGTGCTATTGGGAAGTCACATGTTCCACAGTGCTAAACTATTTCGGAAACTATTACGATGTTTCCATTTAACGTAAAATGTTTCAGAGCGGAAGCAAGGGAAAAGATGTATTAAATTAATCATTTTCATGAATAGATATAGTTAAAATCAGTTGATTTCAACTTTTTAGTGCAATCACTGATATACAGAAATAAAATAGTGCGTTTTATTAAAATTATTTGTTTTAAAATATTTTTAAAAGTTCCCTGGTAGAAATTGCCTTGCCGGTGCCACGACACTTGCTATAACAAATTTGCCACACTACAGCCTTATCTAAAAGAATTGGAAAGATACAATACATATCAGGGCCATCCTTGCGCCTGATATATA